GGATTTCGGTACCATCACCACCGTCGTCGACACGATCGCTTCCAACAACTAGGAAATGTAGCGGCCACGTGGGGCAGCGTTTGCAAATTTTGTGGCTTCAATGTCTGTGGTTCCTAAGGCGCGGGGTCTTGTGGTTGAGTAGAATATGGCAGTGGCACATGTTCCCAGTCTTTCGCCTTCTTCTTCGTTGTCCTCTTTTGCTGGCCCTCCTCCGACTCCGGCGATACGGGCGTCCTATCCCACCGTGTGGTCCAAGCGCCCGTTCAAACTTGCAATGCGAAGTTCCAAAACGTTGCTCTATGGGTGGAACTAACAACTATGACATGGCATGTAACCGTCTCCGCCCCCTATCCCGCGACGCCGTGGTCATCCTGTTGCGGGAGACGCATGGGCACATGGGCGACCTTATTTCTCTTCGCAGCGACTTCCCTGTCTCCCAGTGCAGCGGCAGCTTCCTCAGCTCCAACCGCGGCGGGGTCATCGCCATGATTTGCAAGAGCAAACCGGCCGCGCTCTTTTCTCTTGGCCAGCAGACATCACTGCAGTTTGGAGGGGCGGATGGACACCTCAAGATTTTCATCCCGCATGCTTCGCCTCAGTAGTATTTCAAGATCAAGAAGTTGGATGGATGGAAATGACTCGGCGTAGTCTGACATGCCCCCAGAGCGTTCTAGTTTCTGACTCGCAACTTCAACTTATTATTGTCTTGCGGCGCAACTTCCCGAGTGAGCCATGGTGAAATTCGCCGACCCCGCCCTCGCGGCAGATCGGTTGGTCCACTCGCCCCACTATTATTGGAGATCGGCGCACCCTGCGAAGCAGCATGGCAAGATCGCTTCCACGGCGAGCAATGATTAGATATATCTATATATATATATATGTATACAGATGTATGTATACACATATATATAGACACATAGATTAGGTTTGTACGATCTATATATTTATACACATATATATAGACGTATAGATATATAGATCGCTCGTCCCCGGCGGGCAACGCGCGCATTTTTCCCGTGTCCTCTCTTCCAGTGGAAAGCGACTGATGCGATTCAGCCAAGTGGTCGCGTTCCGCTTTATCTCCTGCTGTGCCCTGGTGGACATCGGGGCGCAACGCGATGGCCAGGGGCCCTGCTCTGGGTTGCCCCAAGCTTGCGTTTGGCGCGTACTTGGCGGGGGAGATGGTTCTGGATTTCCCTCGCGACCAGAATCCGTTTCCACGGGATTTAGCATTTTGCCGTGGGGGACGCGCATCGCTTGCTGACTTTTCTGCGCTGCAGATGTAAGTCGCAGGTCCCGAGGTTCCAATGGAGGAGGTATGTTGATGTTTCGTGGTCAGAGCTTGAGCGCTTCATGGCCTTGGATTTGCACTGGTCAAATCTTGCCAGCGTGCATGAGTTCGCGCGTGGCGTCACTTTGCCCGCGGGCGACGGATCGGTGGGCTCGGGGGAGGGGGATCGAGAATGATGGGATCCGTGTAGAACCCGAAGTTCAGCGGCAGGATTATATCCAGCGGTTGCATGCTGCCCGGGCGGGTCGCAAGAGAAGGCTCTCCGCCCGGGCCGCTTATCGACCCTGGCGTCGTCGTGGCGCACGGTCGCGCTTAAGGCGCCGCTCTCTTGCCCTCGCATGAAGGGGGCGTTCGCGGAGTTGGGCAAGTCTGAACGGAGGGGCGGATTCGGTGCCCAAATTTCATCCATCATGTTGCGAGGGGTGTTTGGTGGGCGATCAACATCGGCGCATTGCACGGGATGCGCGGGAAAATGATCGACGCCACTCCTGGCCCCGATGGCGCCCCGTGCTCTTGCTGTCGCTGCGGAGGAGGTGGAGCAATCCAACGTATAATATGATGTGCGCCCGTGTATGCCGGGAGGACATGCGCCGCCTGGAGAGTCGAACTACTGCCGCGCGGTCTTCCCGCCCAAGATCCCCCCCCCCCCCCCCCCCCCACAGCGCCGAGCGAAATCGCGGGTATTGCTAGACTGCCCAGGGGCTCCTACCTCTCTCACTATCCGACTCTTCGACAGCATCTCTTCACGCGCTATTGGATGCGGTCTAGCGCGGCAAAGGCAAACCAGGGCATATCTTGCCCGAAAAGGGCTGGCCAGGCGTGCGGCGATATCTTCGAGGTGTCATCGTCGCGCGCCCCGTGGGGCGAGGTTCAAGGGTGCCTCGATTCGGGGACCGCTTTTTGGTGGGCTTCGAGGCCGCGTTCCCAAGTTCGGCCGTCTCTAGGGTCTTTGGAGTTCTCAGTCGCATGCTCTTGAGGGCTGCAAGGTTACGTGGGGATCATGCAGGGGCGCCCCGTTCGTCATGACGATATTCGCGTTGTGCTTGGGCCCGGTGTCGGGGCGCGTTCGCGGCGTGCTTCCGCGGCCGCTATCTCCCATCGAACGCGTCGCAGCTGGCCGTGCGCGCGCGTTTCGGGGCGCGCGCCGCCGGCTACCCTTTCTCTTCGGCCTGCTCCTCAGCAGGGGGGGGCGCCGCCAGCTTGCGGGTCAATCGCGACAGGTCTCCGATCATGTTCGATTGTCATTAACCGCTCGAGGAGATCCACAGCTGACTTGCTTCCATTGGTCTTGATTGCTTCGCTGGTCATTGTTCTGCTTGCGTTTAGCTCGGCGCGAGGATTGGCGGCGGCGACAGCAGGGTCGCGCGGGGGCTACCGTTAAAAAGAGGTATCAAACCAGGATGGTCACCCGCAGGCAGCTGGGCGTCGTTTCCGCGGAAACCATCGCCAGCTACAGCGCGCTAGCGGGTGGCGCCGGAACGCGCGTCGCCCAGTTCTCCGCGCCCGCCGCGGTGATGTCCAGCGCCCCGGCTGAAGGGCTTCAAGCGGTCGCTGGCTGGCAAGCCACTCAATGCGTCCAGACGCGGTCTTTCGCTGTGGAGAATTTGGGTTTCCCTCGCAAGAGCTGCTCGGCATTGCGTTGCTTGCAGTTTTTTTTGTTTTAAAAAAATGTTTTGTTTTTTCTCTTTCTTTTTCTCCTGATTATGCGTAGAATGACTTTGCGGAGGTGGGTGATTGGCCGTTTGGCCCATGAACGCCGAGGGCGCTTCAAGGCTTCGCTCGTGCTGTCAACTGCATGGCTGATGGCGCTCTCCCACATGCATCCCAAGTATGGTCATGTATCCGTGGGGAAATGGCTGCCAGGCGAAGGTAATGCGGCAGCCGTGCATGAGCACGACGAGTCCGACCTCTTCTTTACTCTCGAGGATGAAGCATTTGGGCGTTATACACAGATTTCGATTCTAAGAGTGCCGCAGTGACGTTCATCAGCATCCAGCCAATTGTTCAGACAATGCCGCGTTTTTTTCCCCTGCGTGACCAAGACCTTGTGCAATGGGTGGGCTACTGCTTCTAACAGGCTCTGGGGCACTGTCAGTTTGGATGTGGGGCCTCCGCTGATGGTTCCATCACTCAGTGCTGTGCCTGCCCTCGCGCACGACCTGTTTCTCTCATATGCTGCCGCATCTTCCTGCGCCAGTTCTTGCGTGATTGGCGAAAGCGGTTTCTGCTTTGTCTGTTTGAGTGCGGCAGTGCGGAGGAGCTTTCTTCGATTGCCGAGGAAATGGGACGTGCATTGTGTGTCTTTATCGCACGCATGCGCAGTAGTCCTCTTGTCCCGTTGTGTTCCAGTGGATGCTGCACGCACGTGCTCGGTATATTCTGCGCCGACGCCACCTCATCATACCGCTCCTTGCTACACCCATGCCGCTGCCTGTTCACCGCCGTTGTCTGGCTGATCTTGTTTTTCTCTATCACGTCGCCCCACCGCTCACAAGAGTATTGTTCATATTGTCTTCATACTTTTCGTCTTCCTCTTCCTCCTCCTTTTCCTCATCCCTCGCGCGCGCTAAGGCGCGCTTCTGCACTTGGAGAGAAGAGTGGGAGGTGGGGAGGCGGAGGAAGAGGAGGAGATGGGAGAACAGTGCGGAGTATGAGGGGGAATGAGGGAGAATGAGGGAGGAGGAGTTCGAGGAGGAGGACGAGCAGGAGAAGGACGAGGAGGAGGATATGGAGGAGGGGGAGGAGGAGGAAAAGGAGAGGGAGGAGGAGGGAAAGGAGCGCCAGAGGAAACCTATGAAACACCAGCGATGCGGCAAAACAACCTCCAACCCCAAGTTCATTCAGAAATTCCTACAGGTTTCCCATGACATTGCAAGAAACGCCCCCTTGAAAAATTCGCGCCGCACCTGCCGGCCATGCAGACGAGAGCCGTGTTCTGAACACTTACTGGTTTGCACCCTCCTCGCGAACGAAAATGAAACCGAAGGGTAGGATCATATCATTCGATGATGTGTCCAGTGGGAGCCTCGTTTTGAAAATGATCCGCCCCCAATCCGTGCGACGGGCCTACAAATCTCAATTTCGGGCTGCTGAATGGTACGCTGTGTTCAACTGTCCAGTCAGTTTGTCTAATCTCCAACGAGAGCCACATGTGGAAACATGGCCAACAGTTACCCCCGCACATGTTGCAAACGTTTCAAACGAATGCGCGCGGCGTTGAGGCAAGAGCATCCTTATTGCGTTTCCCTGATTTAATTGACACAGATTTGAAAACGACTGTGCACGGAGCTGGCGCGAGATCCCCGATTCAAGAAGGAACCGCCTCCCATCCTTGTCAGTGTTGCAGGTGCTCAAGACGAGTATGCGCGGGGTTAGGGCGAGAACCCTCTTTTTTGAATGTGTCCTTATATTTTCGCGCACGAGCTTAAGGCCCATAAGTTGTGAACAAGCTTCAGGCGAAACGCCTGGGCCACCCTACCGACACGTCCGGGGGCGCGACAGGGAGTTTTTTGTTGTTTTTGTTGTTTTGTCCTCCGGGTTGTCTATAAGGGAGGAAGGAGGAGCAGGGATGAACAAGAGGAGAACGTGTAAGGGGGAGGACAGGGACCTGCCCCTCCTCTTTCTCCTCCCCTTCCCCCCCCCGTCTCCCCCCCTCGTCCTCCCGCTCCCCCTCGTCCTCCCGCTCCCACGAGCCCCCACCGCTTGCGAGGGCCGGCTTCTCCAGCGACGCAGGCCGTGGGGCGCCGCTGGCCCGCCGCCGCCGCCGAGGAACGAGGAGGCGTCCCTTCGGCGACCTCGGCGTCTGCAGAGGCCCGTTTCGGGCCCTCGGGGCTGTCAGAAATCGGCCCGGGACAGGAAGCTGCCCAGGCTGGACCATCGTGGAGATGCTGGGGGCCGATTTTGAGCGGCAGGGGGAGGTCGAGAGGAGGGGCGAGCAGGGGAGGCAGGGTCAGGGAGGCGACAAGGAGAGGGGGGAGGGCGGAGGGAGTCCAGGGAGGGGCTTGTGCCCCCCTCTGCCATCCTTCGGAGAAGTGCGAGGATGACCACAACTACTCGAAACTCAGCCCTGCCCGCAATCCTTTAATCGGCGAACGAAGCTCGATACGAGTCAGCGCTTACCCTTCTGTTGGGGGGGGCACTGACAGGACCATGCGATCGTTGAGCGTTCTCTGCTGCAGTTTCCCGTCCGCGTGAGCGGCGCCAGTGCAGAAATTCCCGCCCACCTTGCAGACTGACGTGGCGACACCAACTACTGCGAAGCAGAGAGACAGACAGACAGACACACAGACACACAGGCAGGCAGACAGAAGCCCTGCGTCCGGGTGGACGCGTTGGCAGGAAAATGGGCAAGACCAAACGCCACAAGGAGCATTCGAAGAACAGGGGTGTGACCAAGCGCCGCACGAAGCACTCCAAGCACAGAGGTGTGACCAAGCGCCACGTGAAGCACTCGCAGCACCTAGATGTGACCTACCGCCAGACCTAGACGACGACGATGGATGAAGATGGTGATGATCGATCTGACTGCTCAATCATGTTGCGACATGTTGTGCACTGAAAATGTTGCATAGCACGGAAGAGGAACCACGATCGCAATGCACATGCATGGATGCATATGCCAATCCGCTCTCCCCGCAAACATGGGCGGGCTGGCGAAGTACGAGGCCTGTCACAACACCTCCTTGGATCTCCTTTATAACCAGCGCGTGGTTGTGCCGAGGCTTTGGCCCGTCCGGCGTGGAGGGGTTCTGCAGAAACCATGCGAAGATATCCCAAACGTTGAGAATGTCGCGACTAGACAAACCTTAAGGTCCTCCCAGCATGGCATGGGCGGTTGTATCCCAGACCATGCCGCTATGGTTAGCGCCAGCCGCTGCATGTGGAGCTGGCCTGCGTCGCGGTGCCATGCTAAATCCAATAAGGGCCTGAAAGCGAACAGCAGCGAGAGGGCGCGCTCCCGTGCGACATGGTCTCCAAGGAGCTTGGAAAACACTCACCCTATGACACGCATCGGACACCCTTCACAAGTTAACCCAACACGCATCCTCAGCAACAACACGAAACGAGTCTGCCCGTGAAGCTCCGAACGGGGAGAGCTTTGCCAACATTCCGAAACGCGCGCAGAGCACCCGAGAAAGATTCGTTCCCGAACGCTCCACACAATCTTGCTACAATATGCACTTTGGTCGGCAAGAGACCTCGTTGGCGTAAGCATACGGTTAACAGCAATGTGTACGCCATCCAAACGCAAACACGCATACACCATCCAGAAGAGACAGGGGTCGACCACGTGTCCATCGAGATTCACATGGCGTGTTCTGGTTCTTCGAAAGATGCAACGTTGGTAAACATGACGTCCACCATGTCCTGCAACCATGTCTTGTAACATGTAAGCCAGCATGAACCTCAGACAGAGATGTATTGCAATCTATGCGGCGCAATCTCGATGGTGCAACAGGGTGGTCCAATCCATGTGGTGCAACCGATGTGGTGCAAGGACACGCGAGGCCGTTCAAAGTAATGCAACGTAATGCAGAGCGATGCAGGGCAAAGCAATGCAACGCACTGCAAACCAATACAAACCATTGCAGTGCAATGTAACGCAATGCAGTGCAATGCGAAGCAATGCAAAGCAATGCGACGCACTGCACCGCAATGTAAAGCATGACAGCGCAATGCAGCGCAAGGCAAATCAACGCAACGAACGCGGTGCAAAACACTGCAGAGCAATGCAAAGCAGCGCAACGCATTGCAACACAGTGTAACGCAATGCAGCGCAATGCAACGCATTGTCGATTCTTGCAAAGCAGCGCAACGCAATGCAACGCAACCAGACGCAATGCAAAGCAATGCACAGCAATGCAAAATAATGCGATGGTATCGCGGCGACGGGCGGCGACGAGACGCATGGTGCGGCACTGGGGCCCAGCGGCGACAGCAGCGACTGGCGGTCACGAGCAGGATGGGGCGGCACCAGGGTCCACAAGCAATGTTTGGGGAAGACAGGGCGGCACCAGGGTCCACAAGCAATGTTTGGGAAATACCAGCGGCAACCGTAACACAGCGTCAGCATATCGGCCAACATGAGATATGTTATGTTACCTTGGATGCTGCAGTTCGAACAGGACTGTCGCCACACCGCTGTCTCGAGTATGAGCTCAAGGTAAACTGGTGCAACATGCACCTTGCGAACATTGAATGCTGCACCAATTCGTGTCCCGATGAGGTGCTGGACAACTGCATCGGCAAGCTGGTAATAACGCATGCGGCCACAAGCGTCCAGCGCTGTCGACATTCCGTCCATGGAACACGTCGTCTCGCCGTGCTTGTTCTCCCCCCCGAGCTACACTCCAGGCGCGGACGACGGAGCAGAATTCGACCATGGTGCATGCCAGACAGTTACCATCCGTGTCCATAGCAGCAGAAGGTGCTTGCTCGAGCAGGCACGAAGCAGCGGTGTCCGTCGTGGCGGTTGGGATCCGAGGCTGCCCGTCGTGGCGGCCTGGACGGCCATCGTCGAGACGCCTCGGGACAATCCAAGTGCCGAGACCCTGCGCGTCTTGGCTCGCTTGCTCGGCGCCTTCTTTTACCGCCCACCAAGCCACCCCAACCCAACCCGAAGGCCCCGATTCGCCCTCCATTTCCAGTGGGGGGGGGTCGGGGAACATGAGGAAAATACATATGAAGCCCGCCCCCCCCCCCCGAACCCGAAATCGGAGTATTCGGGTTAGGTTGGGGTGGTCTGGTGGATAGCCACTCTTGCTCACGAGCGAGCGGGAGGCCGCTCTTACCGGGCGGCCTCCGTCGTGGGCTGGCCGCCCTCCGCCGGGCGGATAGCATCGAACAGGCGGGTCGGGAAGGCGGGCCCAGGCGGCCAGGTCGAGCAGGCGGGTTGCTGAATCGTGCGTCCTTAATGAATCGCGAGGAACTCTCGAACGCCAGCGCGATTCCCAAATAAGCCGTGACATAGGCCAAAGCGAGAGCGTGATTCTTGAGTGTCGAGGGCGCGGCGTCTGAATGAATCGCGAGGAAGTCCCATGCAAGAGCACGATTTCTGCATACATTGTAAGGAAGTCCCGCGCGAGAGCACGACTCTTCAATACATTGTGAGGAAGTATCAGGCGGGAGCCGCTGCCGTCGTAAACTCGGGGGCAGAGACACAATTCTGAGATCCAAGGCTTTCTTTGATAATCAAAAGGGTGCAAGCCCCGGGAAGGGCACTTCAATTAAACAACACCCCCCAAGGGGGGGGGCGAGACCAACGATAGTTGTTCTTCAGTAGTGAGAGTTCAACAACAACAACAACAACAACAACAACAACAACAACAACAACAACAACAACAACAACAAAAACAACAATTCGCACCGCAGAACCTCACTTCAGACAGGGAATGACCGTTGGGCCCTCTCATTCTGACCTAGCACACGAAAGACTACGTAGCAATTAGCAACGACTGGATACCGTTTACCACAAACCTACACGCTGACCGCGAGCACGATTCGGGCGCAAAAGACGAAAACCATTATCCAACATACCCAACACATGATCGCACACGCCAGCGCACCAACTCACGACGACTGCCACCATCACCTCATGATCATACTAAATGCAAGATTCAGCTCTACAGGCACACTTCGCCTTCGCCAGTTTACTTGCCGGCCAGCCCCTACCGACGTAGGACACGCAAGTCAATGCCCACCACCGCAAAACCACAAGCGTACGGCACGCAGCAGCCACATCATGTTTCCCCACAGACGATTCACCCCACGCCCAGCATACATCACCACAGGCACAATCAAGCTCATAATACCCAGACGTTAAACGATCGCAGTACCACGAACAGAAAGGCGTACGACTACGAACCCAATCAGGACATCGAGTAGTACCTCACCGGCAGGCCCATAGACAAACAGAAGCGTCATTAACATCTTGCCCTGTAAACTGCAACATCCGACAGTTTTAGCAACGCTGTGCAGGCAATACGAACCTTTCTAGCCAAGACGCGCACACCGCGTGCACACTAATTCAAACATGACAGAGCCAACCACGTAGCAGCGCTGCCGGACTTCCCTCGGCACCTTGGCCATTGTGGCCCTGGGCAAGGTGTGGGCCAATCGGTCCCCGCACTTGTGGACTGTTGAGCGGCGCCGGCATAGACTGACGGCACACATCATCGACATGGGCCAGCGAACGCGACACTGCGCCAGCTTAATTCGCACTCAATGCAGCTGCTCACTGAGGCTGCGTTGCCACCCGCGCGCTAAATCTGCTGTATGTTGGTGCTGGTTGTCACCCTTTGCCCGCCGACTAGCCACTTCCAGTTGCCATTTTGAGGCGATATGCCGCACTGGTGCGTCCCGCATTCGCAGCGAGGACCGCTCGCATAGCATCTGGCTGGCCTGAAGAGCGCCTTTGTCTAGAATGCCGCTCACGCTGCAGACAGCATTCGCATTCTAGTACGCCCCATTCCTGTCAAGCTGATTTGCGTTTCCCTCCTTACTGCATGGGTATTCTCGGACGGGGGAGGTGGCTCAGCAAAAGAGGGGTGGAGGTCCTGCGAGTGTTGCACACATGCCTGCAGTCGAATTGCCTGCTCCAGCCGTGCACCTGCAACTTCGCATTGCAAGCTTCATTCCCGCTGCACGGACTTCGGTGAGGTTTGTTATCGCGTGGGGAGGTGTGGGACATGGGGGAGTGGTGATTATGGGGGGGGGCTGGATGACCTGACCTTTCACTACCGCGGGCTAGTCTGAACAGAGCCAGCCTCTCGAGTGCCAACTACGATGACAGAACCCACATCGAGTTTGCCTCACTTCCAAGTCAGACGTTGCCTATCTCATTCACCTTGGCCATAAAACACTGGGTGATTAGTGACCTGGCATACCCGTGTGGCATTTGCCAGCGATGGCAAATCACGAGCTAAAGGCAGGCCTGTTCCTTGCTGTAGCTGTGCACTTTATGTTTGTTCCTCCTGGTCGCTTGTTCTTGTTGATGTCCTGATTATGTTTCCCCCACTCGTGAACTGTCCGGCAAGCGTATACTCAATGCCCGATGGGCATGCATTATTTGCGCATGTCTCTTCTGCCCTTTGTTCCTGTCACGCCTGCCAGGCTTAAGTTCTTGGCCCCTGGGCCCAAGTCGGCACCTTCTCGCGTGCTTTTTCTCACACGCGGTACACTATGAGGACTGAAGTCCGCCCAGCGTCAAACAAGACGGGGAAGCACATCTCATGCAAACTATGGAAATGGAGGAGGGGGAGCGGGATGCGGTGCCCGAGGTGACGAGATTTTGGAGGAAAGTGTTAGACGTGTTGTGGATACGACGGGAAAAGGGGTTGCCGCACGTTCCCTGCCACCCCTTCCAGGTGGCAGCGCCTCTTCTGCGCCGCCCGTGACGCACCTCGCGTCCCAGCCCGAGGCTGCAAGGCCTGCGTTGCCGTGACCTGGTCTTCGGATGCAACTCCTGGGAGGTCAGATTCTGATTTTGCTCTGGTCCGAAGTCCGGCTTAGTCCCGCTTGGTCCCGCAAATCCCGCTCAATCCGATGCAATCCCGCTTAATCCGAAGCCTACTCTGGCGCAACAGCCCCACAATGGGGCCTAACCCCCCGTAATCTTTCAGACGAAGACCTCCCAGCAGTTGCTTCCTGTTGCTCTCTTCGTGCTTTCATCTCCCGGGAGCACTGCAGTGGACGCCCACCTCTGCTCGGTGCATGCATGATGATGCCATGGTTGTTCGTACATGGCCGGCGCATTCGCTCGCTTGGGCCCTGTGGTGCCGTCGCAAGCCCTCGCACAACTGCGGCAGAGATCAGCTCGAGTCCTCGATGACGAAAGGGATGGGGGTCACGATGCGCTCTGGAGGTTTCTTATCTCCATCCTCCCCTCCTCGCCCTCGTCCCCTTCCTCCTCCTCTTCCTATGATGGGGCGGAGGCTCAAGAGGGAACGATGAGGTACTTGTTGACCTCACGTCCTCTGGGAGGAGGCCGGCGGAGGTGGAGCTACGAGGGCAGTAGTTCTTGACGAGTTTCGGCCAGGTCGTGTCGCGGGCAAGGGGAAGCATTCCGCAAGTAGGGAGAAACACGGAGGCGGACGAGGAGGAGGTATGTGGTGGAGGGAGGAGGAGGAAATAGTGAAGGAGGGGGAGGAGGAGGAGGAGGAGGAGGAGGAGGAGGAGGAGGAGGAAGAGGAGGAAGAGGAAGAGGAGGCGGAACGGCGGAACATGTTGGATGAGAAGGTAGATGTGGAGGAGGACCGGAACGGAACGGAACGGAATGCATTGACGAGGAAGTTCGCATCACTACTATCTTGAGGCGTCGCGTATCCCCATCAGCTACGGCGGCGTGGTTCTGGCCCACATTCGGCACACGCAATGTCGTAGACGTGGTGAGGTTCGTCGAGGATGTCGATGTCACAGTTGGGCTTGGACTCGGTTGTCCCCGGCTTTTGCGCGGCGTTTGAGGCCAGGCACGTAGCTGCTATTTTCGCTGCCCGTTCGCTGCCCGCGCTCGGCCTCGGCTCTGGCCCTGTATAATTGTGATCGCCACTCTTGGCTGGCTGCCCGCCGCTTCGCTTGCAATCTTCGGCCGCTCGCCCGCTGCCGTGCCTGGCCTCGATCCTGGCCGTATTTTAGGCCTGCGTACGATTCTACGACGCCGCGCGGCTCTCCCGCTTGTGGTTGCGAGCAAACGTATCCCTATCAGCTCATCCAGAAACGATGCTTAAGCGAACCGTCGGGAGAAAGGACATCGACACAACCCACAGTGACAGAAAGTGAAGAGGACGAAAGTAAACGTAGAGTCCTTCGTGGAGCCTCTCAATGCCATAGTGAAGCTACATTGAGGCCCTTACAGGAGCTGTTGGGGTCCGCTCGAGGGTCCCTGGGCTTTCTTGCCCTTGGGGCCATCATGGAGACCATGAGCGAAAGAGGGGGCGGCGCAGATCAACGTTGCCCTTCTGGAGCCCGAGAGATCGCCCCTTTCATCCCTTTTAGGCGCTCTTGGGGCCGTCCTGGACCTCATCTGAGGGCATGGCGGGCTTCTTTTGCTGAAACACATGATAATGGAGTTGCTCACTGCCTCTTTGGAACGGACCCTCTCCACGAGCGCCGCCTTGCGTTGCTCATGCGAGTGCGCTACCCCTGCGGCCGAAACGGAAGCAGCACGCAGTGCGCTACCTCTGTGGCAGTGTCCTCCGTGATCGCACGAGGGCAAGCTTGGCAAGGGAATCGGTGCGGTCCAGCAGAAACTTCCCCGCACGATTCGGCGGCTTCCGGCTTCCCTCGGCCGGGACGATTCGAATCTTCCGGCCTGTCTTCCTTGGGGCACGCGCGCATTTCAGACAAAGTAACCTTTGCGGATTCGCTTCCGAGCCTCGTCCTGGCCCTCAGGTCCAGGAGCCTCTTGCCCAGCAGCGGCGACGACACGTGACCCCGAGTGTCCGCCAGCAATCGCCGGACGAACACGTACGCTCTTCGGCACCCTTCTCATGGCAGCGATCCGTTCACACTGCTACCCAGCATGAAGCCGAGTGCGCATTGCCAGCCCGCCTCGTTCTCTCGTGCCATTCAATGGGTCGCCTCGACATGCCAGCGCCAGAGCGGGGGGGGCGGGGCCACATGAGCGTTCGAGGGGGAAGGAGGAGGAGGGCCGGGAGGGGGATGGCGGGCATGGTGAGGGGTGTGTGTGTGTGGGGGGGGCAGTGGGTGGGGGGGGGGCATGGCGAGGGGGTTGGGGGGGGCAGGGCGAGGAGGCTCTGAGGAGGGGCCCGGTGGGAGAGGGTGCAGCGGATGGTTGGGCGAGCCTCGGCCAGAAGGCGGGCGGGCGAGCGGTGGCGGCGTCATCTTCCCACTGCACTTGCGCATGACCCCTGCTGTCGCCCCGCCGATTCTATGGTGCCGCGGTTGACCTCGTTTTCGTCTTCTTCGGCATCCTATTCAGCAGCGTCGTCGGTAACGTCGACGTCGTTGTTGTGTTCGTCGTTCCTTTCGTCTTTTACGTCGTTTTCGCCGTCGTCGTCGTCGTCGGTGTCGGTGTGATTTTCGTCGTCGCCAAAGTCAACGTCAACGTCATTGTCTCGCGGCAGGGGCTCATCGAAGCGGAAGCCGTCGCCGAGGAGGCCTCGCTGGGGGGGGGGGGCAGAGAGGGAGCAAGGAGGGAAGTTGTGTAGGAGAGAGGGAGCAAGGAGGAGGAAACGAGGATGAGGGAGCGAGGATGGGGGAGCGAGGGGGGGGAGGAGGGAGCAGGATAGGGTCATTGGGAGGGGAGGAGGGGAGGGGGAGTAGGGAAGGAAGGAGGGTGAAGGAGGAGCGGGAGGATAAGCTGGAGGAGTGACGAGGGGGATCATTCGGAGAAAAGAGGTAAGGAGGAGCAGAAGGAGGAATGGGTGGATGGGGTAGGGGGATGGAGAGATGATGTGGAGGAGGGGAGGGTGGCGCACCTGCTCGTCTCTCTGCTCTTCCGCTCCCTCTTTTCTCCTCCTGCCTTCTCTTCCTTGTTTCCCCGTCCTCATCTGTCGTGCTCCTCCTCCTCCTCCTCTTCCTCTTCCTTCTCCTCCTCCCAGGGGGAGCGGGTGCAGGGCCGCGGGTGGGGCGCGCCAGGACATCGGTGGCCTCTGGCCTGCCCATGAAGGAGGAGTCGCGATGGGCACGCGCAGCTCGTCGCCGCTCGTCGTCGCCGCTCGTCGTCTTCCGTCGCAGTCTTCTGGGGAGGAGGAGGAGGGAGAGGGGGGGCGGGGGAAAGGGAGGATAGAACAAGCGATTGTGAGGTGAGGGAGTTGGTGGTGCGGGAAGCGAGGGGGCATTCCGCGCGGGACCCGGGTGCGGGACACACGCACACACACACACACGCACGCACGCACGCACGCACGCACGCACGCACGCACGCACGCACGCACGCACGACGCACGCACGCACGCACGCACGCACGCACGCACGCACGCACGCACGCACGCGCGCGCGCACACACGCACGCACGCACGCACGCACGCACGCACGCACGCACGCACGCACGCACGCACGCACGCACACCCACGCACACACACACACACACACACCCACACACGCACGCACGCACGCACGCACGCACGCACGCACGCACGCACGCACGCACGCACGCACGCACGCACGCACGCACGCACGCACGCGCACGCACGCACGCACGCACGCACGCACGCACGCACACGCGCGCGCGCGCGTGCGCGCGCACACACGCACGCACGCACGCACGCACGTACGCACGCACGCACGCACGCACGCACACACGCACACACACACACACAGCACACGCCAAGCGGCGTGTGCTGTGATGTGATGTGCTGTGATGTGCTGTGATGTGATGTGTTGTGTGTGCTGTGTTGCGCTGTGTTGTGCTGTGTTGTGCTGTGATGTGCTGCCACACACACACACGCACACTCGCGGCCTCGCTGCGCTGTGCTGCGCTGTGATGTGTAGCGGTGCGGCATCTGGAGCCATCGGCTCCGTGCCTGGAGCACTTGCCCCGGCCCCCGAGGTGTCGCTCCCGTCCTTCTCCGTCGCGGTCGTGTCATCCGCCGTTCTCCTGAACCCTGCCGCCATGGAGCCCGGTGTCCGTGGCGTGGCAACCCTCCCGGTCAAGCAGCACTCGCTGCTGCTACGGCTCTGCCAGGTGTTTACTGCGCGCGCCCGTGTGGACCCCTCCCTCGCGGCAGCGTGGCTTCGTGACTCAGTAAGCCTCCTCCAGAGGCTGCTGTCTGATCGCGTGCGCCTTAGCATCCTTAGCCTGCGTCACGCTGCCTCTCTCCCCTCCTTCCCCCTCCCGCCTGCTTCCTGGTACTCGATGTCTTTTCCTGTAGGCGTTCGTGCGCCCAGCCAGTGCCGTCGCCCATCGTTTGGCTGAGCCCGTGCAGCTTCCATGTCGGCATTGTGGAAGAAACAGTCCCGCGCACGCCTGCCCACACGCACGCACCTGTTGCTGGCTGTGATGCGCTGCGCGGTGCGGCGTGGCGCCGTGGTCCTCCCCTCTCCCTTTCTTCTCTCTCCCCTTGCCCTCCCTCTTCCTCCCCCCCTGCCTCCCTCCATGGCTGCCTGGATTGGGCAGTACAGTTTTGGCGTACCCCTGCTGACGTCTCGCCGCGAGCGGGCGTTACGACGACGCCGGTGTCTCCCGTCGCGTCGCCAGGGCCGGCTGGCGTTACGACGGATTCGGTTTTTTTGCGGCGTCGGCGGAGCGTGCAGCATTGCGCTGCTGCCACCGCGTGCCCCACTGCCCCCTCCTGCCCTCTCCTCTTCCCTCCTCCTCTTCATCTCTCCGTGGCTGCCCGAATTGGGTAGTGAAGTTTTAGCGTATCTCGGCCGGGACCCCGCACGGGAACACAAGTCCGAGGTTGCTGATACGTTTTACTGCGAATTCGTATCCATGGGTGCCTCCTGGTGCAGCGATGGCTTGGCTGCGCACACACGCGCACACACACATGGGTGGCTCAAACACGCGCTCTCACCCACCCGCGTTCCCACATGCTCCCGTGAGCCTTGTGCGGAGTCGCGCGGTGCAGGTGCGCCCCATCACGCCACCCGGAACCGACTGACAGCTTTCCACGCCGAGACAGCGCGCACACAGCACGGGTTGCATGCAGCGCCGGCTGCAGCTCCGTGGTTGTCTTGCGTCGCGTGTGTTTGTGCGTAGGTTGGCTCCACCGGTGCGGGGAAGGGGCTGGTCCTGGCGGTTGGGTGCTTTCAAGAGCGGCGCGCGGGGTGCGTATTTTGGTGTTGGGTGGCTGCACAGCGGACCGTGCCCCGCCCACGTACTTCCCCCTCACCCACCGCCGCCTGCATCGTTTGCCTTGGCGCGCGGTTTGGGTTGAGACGGTGTGAAGATACGGCGTCCCGCATCAGGCAGGGGAACGAGCGAACGAACACACACACGCACGCACGCACGCACGCACGCACGCACGCACGCACGCACGCGCGCACGCGCGCACGCGCGCGCACACACACGCACGCACGCACGCACGCACGCACGCACGCACGCACGCACGTTCGCGCACACGCACCCGCACATGCACACACACACAAACACACACACACACACAACACACACACACACACACACGCACGTACGCGCACACGCACACGCACATTCACGCGCACGTGCGCGCACGCGCACGCGCACGCGCACGCGCGCGCATGCACGCACGCACGCACACAGACACACACAGACACACAGACACACACAGACACACGCAGACACAGACACACAGAGACACACACACACACAGACACACAGCTGATCACACACACACGCCAAACGGCGTGTGCTGTAATGTGCTGTGTTGTGATGTGCTGTCATGTGCTGTGATATGTTGTGCTGCGTCATGATGCGATGTGTTGTTTTGTGATGTGCTGCCACTCACACGCACACACGCGGCCGAGCTGCGCTGTGCTGCGCTGTGATGTGTAGCGGTGTGGCATCCGTTTCCACGGGTTTGTGCCGGGAGCGCCGGCCCAGGCCCCCGATTAGTCGTTCTGGTCGTTCATTCCTTCCCCTCCCCGCCCCCTTTCCTCCGCCTCTTGCCTCCTCCCCCTCTTGCTCTCCCTTTCCCTCCTTCTGGCCTGTTCCCTTCCTCTCCTCCCTCCACTTCCTTCCCCCCCTCCCCCTTCCTCCTTTTCAGGTTTGATGGCATGGCCGTGGCCGGCGGGCTGAACCTCTTCGTGGCCCCTCTCCCCTCCTCCCCCTTCTACGCACGCACACACGTGTGGCTCAAACGCGCTCTCTCACCCACCCGCGTTCCCAAAAGCTACCGTGAGCCTTGTGCCGATTCGCGCGGTGCAGATGCCGCTCCATCACGCCACCCGGAACGGGCTGATCCACCCACCAAACCGACAGCGGCAACCACCAAGGTGGCGTCGGTGTGCCCAGTTCCAGGAAGGGGCCGGTCCAGGCGGATGTGTTGCGACTAGAGCAGCGCGCGGGGTGTGTACTTTGGCGTTGGGTGGCTGCACACTGGACCGTGCCCCACCCACGTGACTCCCGTGGCGTGCAGCCTGCCATGGGTCGGTGCGAGGACACGGTGTCTCCGCTATGGGCGGGCAACGAACGAACACGCGCACGTGCGCCCGCACGCGCCCCCCCCACCCCCCCGCACAAGAACAAACTCAAACGCACCGCGCGCCAGGGCGTGCCCATTGCACCCATTCGCAGGACTGTCGCACCGCAGCACGCGCGTTCCCCTTATCTCCGGCGATGCGCTGCGCGGTCGTGTCAGCAGCAAGCGGGATGCGCGCGCCAAGTTGCATTTCGACGCATGACAGGCGCGCTCCAGCCGAAACCGCGGTCTTCCGGTCCCGGGGTAGGACAACGTGCACGGTGTCCCTCGCTTGCGCCTCTCGAAACGTCGATGCGTCGCCCCCGCGCTCTGGGCGGGTTGCCTAGAAAGGCGCTGGCGCATGATATGGGGACAGGGCGAGGCGAGAAGAGCCGAGCGCTGCATGCGCACGGTGGAAGCGACCCCGACCGGGCACAGTGACCACGCAGGCGGCCTCGATTGTGGGGGCGAGAAGGCACAGACACGCGCACACACAAACACACACGCACACGCGCACACACGCACACGCACACACGCACGCACGCACGCACGCGCACGCACACACACCACACACACCACACACACACACCACACACACCACACACACCACACACACACACGCACACACGCACACACACACACACACACGGTCGCGGCCTTGCGCGCAGCAGCGAGGCAGAGAAGTGTCAGATCTTTAGCGTCCGCGGCCGGTCCCCCAGGGGAGAACGCGCTCGCGCGCGTGGATGCGCGCGTAGATGTGTATATATACATATATGTCTCTATACCAGCACATCTATACATATATGTTTGTATAATAATACAAGGCTGCATTGGCGCCTCGCGCCGCGCGCCTTGTTCCGGCCGCTGCCCCAGCAAAACAATAGATAATCGCTTCCTTCGGCAGGGGGACCTCGAGACCTGGGCGGGCGACCAGCTCATTTAACTGATTTCCTTGGTTCCTGCTGACGCCGCGTTCGCCCGATGCGCTTGCACGCTTGTGGTCAGGAGCGGGGAAGGAATCATGTTTTTTTTCGCGCGTCAAGGGTTTTTGAGGAAGTAAGGAGATTTCTCATGACACGCCGAATATGTCGCAGTAGCTCAGGACAAATTGATGTGTGGTCGCTTTTTGAATGCCTGGAGGGCCCCAGGCATTCAGGAAATCTTCAATTGTCGAACTTCGAATCTAGATCCATTGCCTGTCTTCCTCGATCGGGGAATCTAAACCTCGAACCTCAAAGGTGGAACCAACATCGTCGGGCCAGTTCGATGTACTTCGCGGGAAAACGCCGTCTTGGCGTTTTTGGTGTTCTTTCTGGCCATCCTGGAGCCCTCTTGGGCCGTCCTCGGGCCTTTTTGGGCCGTCTTGAGGAGCTGGGGCTCTCCAGACGTCAGCTGAAGCCTTCTAGGGCCCTCTTGGGGGCCTCCAGTGACCTTCTTGGGGGTCTCCCGTGGCTTTCGTGGGTCTCTCTTTGGAGCCTTCTGGGGGCATCTTGGGCTTCTTGTGGGTAGTCTCGGGGCTCTCTGGGGCAGTCTTGGGGCCCTTCTGGACCGTCTTCAAAACCTCTGGGGGGGCCTTTTGGGCCGTCTTGGGGCGATATTGGGGGCCCATCGGGCCGTTTTGGACGCTGCGAAGACCCCCGAAGCGGATATGCTATGTATGTATGTATGTATGTATGTATGTATATATATATATATATATATATATATATATATATATATATATGTTCCCAAGGGAATGGGTGGGGGGACAATTGTTGCTCTTTCGGGGGGGGTCACGGCCTCTTTAGGCATCTTCTGGCCTCCTAGTTCGTCTTCAGACTATCGAGGTTCTTCCCGGAGCGCTCTTTTGTTGTCTTGGGTCTCTCTTGCGCCTCTCAGATGACCCCTCTGATCGCCTTGAGTCTGCTCGCAAGGCCCGGCAAGGCACCTTGGGAGGCCCAGAAGGGCCAGTGGACCTTTTCCAAGGGCGCCCAGGGGGCCGCCGAGACGTCCGAAAGGGCGTCCAGGGCATCCTGGGAGGGGTGGTCGGGCTGTGGGTCGGGGGGGGTCGGGGTAAGATAATATATAATTCGGAAACCATGTGTATACATACAAATTTATGTATATATACATGTATATTACGAGTATATATACACATATATGTATGTCAATATATGTGTATATATATGTATAAACATGTAGTATACACAACTTTATATATATATATATCTGAATATATATATATATATATATATATATGTGTGTACGTGGGTGTGTGTGTCATCCGCCGCGTCATTCAAGCAGCTTCTGGTGCTGTGACGGCGGGCCACGTGTTAGCCAATTGACCACCTTGTGTGTGGCAGCGTCAGTTGAGCGGGACAACTCTGAGGCATTCGCGCGCTGGAGCCGACCCTCCGGCGCGCAGGGGGGTGCGTGCATGAAGCGCGCAGTGGAAACAGCAGTGGAAACCCAAGAGCGCACACACACAACCCACGCCCTGGCCTCTTGCTCTCCCCGATGAGACCGCGAACGCCAGGACACCGATAAGGAGCCGGACAAGTCCACTTCCGCACTGGAGGCCAGTCGCGCCGTGTTCGTGCCGCCTCCAGCAGGCATCTTTTTTGTCGTGGTCGTGGTCGTCGTGATCGTCGTTGTGCTTGTCGTCGTGGAGGTTGAGATTGTCGTCGTGTTAGTTGTCGTGGTCGTCGGCGAGGTGGTTGTTCTCATCGCCCTTTGTTGTTGTGGTTTTTGTTCGTCGTCCTCGTCGTCGAGGCGGCCCGAAGCCAGAAGCCAGTGGCAGCTCGAAGGAGGAGGTGGAAGAACAGTCCTCGAGCGGTGCTCTGACGGCGCGAGAGCTCGAGAGTTGAACAGGGAGCTTCGTCGCACCTCTCAGCCTGTTCCCTTCCAAAGCCGATCGAAGAGGAGAAGGAGGAGGGGGAGAGAACGAGGGAGGATGTGTTTACGTCGGAGGGCCCCTGGGGGTCCCGGAGGTTTTTGGGGGGAGTGGGGGGTCCTGGCTGTCTTGGGGGCCCCAGGAGCCGTAGGGGGAAGAGGAGGAGGACCAGCGAGGCTGCAAGACACCCTCCCGTCCCAAGTCCCTTTTCCGCTCTGAGTTCCTACAGACCGTCTCGTTGGGTCCCGAGAGGGCCCAAGACGGTTCCAACAGGCCCCGAAGACGCTCAAGATGCCTTCAAGACGGCCGACGAGGACTCCAACACGCTCCAGGACGGACTCAAGAGGCTCCCCAAGAGGGCCCTGGGAGGCAAGATTCGCTAATTTTCCGATGGTTCTTGAAGGATTTAGGCGTTCTCGATTCTCCCGCTTCCAGCGCTCCCTCACGGCCTCGGATGCCCTTCAGATCGCTCCAAGACTGCCCACGATGCCCCGAAGAGGGCCCCAAGACGGCCCAGGAGGCTCCCCAGACAACCCAAGTGTGCCTCAAGAGCGCCCCAAGAGGGGGCCCAGAGGGAGACCGCGAACCAAAATTTCGAGGTCTCTGGCCCTAGAGGCCCCCAGTAAGCTCCTGGAGGCCACCATGAGGCTCCCACGGAACCCCGTGAGGCGCCCAAGAGGCCCCCAGGAAGCCCCAAGAGGCCCCCAAGGGGCCCCCAGGGAACGACCGCCCATGAGGCCCCCAATACACCCCAAGAAATCATGCCCCCAGAAAGCCTTCCGGGGACATGGTTCATCATGGGCCCGAGAGTCTCCGGAGGCTCCGAAGTACCATCACGCTACCGGAGAGCTGTCTGGGAAGTTGATTGGGAACATGATTGATCGCCTTCTCGCGGCCCTCCGCGGATCGTTTCGCACAAAGTTGCCCCAAATGCCCTCATGAACCGACGACGACGACGAAAACGACGAAACGACGAAGGCGAGGACAACGACGACGACGATGGCGCGCCCCAAGAGGCGAAGACGACATTACGACGACGACGACGACGACGACGACGACGACGACGACGACGACGACGACGACGACGACGACGACGACGGCACGCCCCAACAGGCTCCCCAAGACGCCCCCCAAACCCATGTTCCCAGAAGGCCTTCTGGGAACCCGATTCATCAGGCCTCCGCCCCCCGACGCAAACATCTTCCCCGGAAGACTTCCGGAATACGGATTGGCATGTATGGATTTCTCGCTGCCCATAATGCGTTCAGCATTATGGGCACTTCTTCACTTCCCGTTTTCCAACCATCTGTAGCCCACCACTTCACTGGAGCAGTGAACTCGTCAAGGTCTGGGGCCTGCTAGAACGTGATCGCGCGCGAAGCGCGCGCGATGGTTCCAGTATATATATAGATAGATATATATATATATATATATATATCTATATATATATGTGTGTGGTGCTTGTCGGAGTTATTTGGGTTGGTGCGGAGTTTCGTGCAGCTCTTGAAAATGAGCACTATCATCGTCATGGTCGTCACCGCGCGCTTGTTTTCGCAAACTCTGGCAACATTAAACAGGCGGCACACGACGCCCAGGTGCTTGTGCCACGCTCTTCCCGTCGCAGTTGCGGGAAGAAGCGCGCAGCTCCTTATTCCTTCCCATCCCATCCCTTCGTCATTATCATCCTCCTGATTCCCCCCTGTAGTCTTCGGTTGCCAATCGTGGGAGCATCGTATGTCTTCGCAATCCAGCCTGTCCAGTGCACCAGCGTGCGCTAGTATGTGGTGTACGATGAGAGAGCGCCGGCGTAGCGTTGATTATAACGTTGATTAGCGTCGAGGTGGCGTCTTTTACCTTCGATTAGCCGCGATGTTCAAGAGCCAGCAAAATTGCGCGGGAAGTTCCCATGAGTTGCCACCGCATTTGTCCCTCTACCCTTTGCGCATGCTCCTCCCAGGTCCCCCATCCCCATCAAATCCCTTCCTCTTACCATACCACCCCATCCCTTCCTCATTCCATCCCATCCCCCTGAGATCCTGCTCCTCATTCTTTCCCGATCCCGTCCCTTCCTCATTATCCTTTTCCTTCTCCCCCCCCTCCTCTCTTCCCTCCCACCTCCTACCTCCTGCTCCTCCGTGGTCGCCGCCTTCGTCGACGTCGTCGTCGTCGTCGTCGTGTTTGCTGCCGCCGTCGCCGCTGCCCAGCCCCGAGAGGAGTTCTGCGCCCGCGTGCGGCGGGAGCTGGGGCAGCTCGGGCCCGACCAGGGCGTCGTCTACGACCGCCTCAAGCGCCCCGAGCGCGTGGCGTTGGAGGTGGCCGTGCCCCCCGCCATCGTCGTCGACGCCGCCGCCCTTGCTTGGGGTTATTCGCTGGTACTGCGGGCTCAGCCCCTTTAGTGGAGAACTGCGGGGCCCAACCAGCGACCGACAGCAACCCCGCAACGTCAGCCCAGGGATGGATGAGACCACTCTCTGGCAGCAGCCCTGGGAGAGAGGGGGAGGGTACGAGGACTTGCGCGCCACCGTGCCCAAATCTCCCTCAACTCATAGGCTCCCTTCGGGAGGTGCCACGCCCAAAGCCGGAAGGCAAACACTAGATTTGGGTCATTCTGGGGCCCGGGGAGGGATCCTCGCCCAGTCTCGGCTCCATCCTACGCCAACGTACGACGTAAGTACGAGGCTAGCCGGATGGAGGGAGGTAGGAACAGACCCGGAAGGGGAAAACATTTTCCAGAAGAGGGTCGCATCTTGCTCCAGGGAATCTCCTAGCGACGCTGCTTCGGAGAAGCCTGTATCCCCTGGCGACGTACTCAGCAGGACGCGGGCGCATTCCTCCGTAGATTCCGGTTGTGGTCTCCCTCGGGCCCGCCAGAACGCAGCGCGCAACTATTGTGTGACCCCGCAGGTGCCCAAGACATGAGACATGAGGAGGAGGAGGAGGAGGAGGAGGAGGAGGAGGAAGAAGAAGAGGTGGTGGAGGAGGAGGAAGAGGAGGATGAGGAGGAGGAGGAGGACGATTAAGTCAGGCTCCCCCGCATAAGTAGCCCCGACCCCACCCCAGGACAGACACTGAAACCCCTGACCATACAACGGCTGACCGTGCTATCCCTGCATCTCTGGGCACACCCTTATCCCCATCTTCCTCATCTGCGGCAGTTCGCGGACATATGGCAACAATATTCGGGACACGGCGACCACCCCAATTGCGCCGCCTACATCATTTCCGAGATCTGAACCCACCTCCACTCCCAACCTTCACCACCTCCCTGGTCATCGTTGCCTCTCCCATATTAACCGTCACCTCCCCCCCTCTCGTGGTCGGGATGGGCGGGGATATCATCATGGGTGGAGGGGGGGAGAGAGATCTGTTCACCGCGCTGTCCCCGCCCACCCACCAGCGTTTAGGGCACAGCTCGCACTGTGCATTTTCCGTGTCGTTTCACCTGTGCACATGCGTGGTCTTTGCAGTCAGCATTCATGTTCCCGCACAGTGCGCCCAAGGCCATTCCATTCCTCCTTGTATTCTCGACCTCACCTTTCAGGCCGAGCGAAGGCGCAGCTAGGTCCCCACTCCAAAAGAGCACGTTAACTGCAACACCTCCTACAGAGCATGGTAACCGCACCCCTCTGCCTCACCCCAAGCGAGCAGGCTACCGCAGCCACCTTCGCGCCAAGCCCTTTTTGCACCGCCTGTGGCATTCAGCTCCTACGCACCCACCTTCATCGCAGTTTTTCCTCCTGTACGATTTGCACCGCCTGTGGCTTTCCCCCTACGCACCCACCTGCACCGCAGTGTTCCCTCTCACCTTTCAGGCCGAGCGAAGACGTTGCCACACCGCCTGTCGCATCCCGTTTAGACGCGCACCCGCCTACCTACCTACCTTTGCGTCCTCCCCGTTTAACCTCCTGTTTACCTTTGAGGTATCCTACACTGCTTCCTTCCTTGCGAACAGAGGGTAACCCACCTGCGAGGCCTAGAGGCGAACGCTCACCTCCTCTTGCCCCTCCACCCGTCCCCTCTGTTTCCCTTCCTCACCTTCATCTTTCCTCTTCCTTGCCTCTGAGCGTTTGCTTTTTTGAGTTGCAGGTGAGGCCCTTACCGCCCTGGCTGTTCTGTTCAGGCGCCCCACCTCTCAACTCCTATCTAGGTCATTATGTGACCTCGTTTCTTACATCTTGCTTCTCACCTTTTCTGAAATGCGCCCCCACCTCCCCGCTGGGCTCAGCCGCGGGGGGGTGGCACGACAGGTTTGCGCGGCTGCAGGATCACCTTCGTCATCCATGAGTCAGCCAGTCAGGTGGAGGGGGGTGCGTAGAAGGAGGAGGAGAAGGATGTGGAAGAGGAAGAGGAGGAGGAGGAGGAGGAGGAGGAGGAGGATGAGGTTGAGGAATGGGAGGGTGGGTGGGGGCGCTTTTCTGGCGTCGCGGAGCCTGGCATCTTCGCCGCGAGGATGGAGCTGGTCTGAGGGTTGCGGCTGTGGCCACAGACTAGCCGGCTGCTGCATGAGGGGGAGGTGGAGGATCGGAACATCGTATAAAAGGGGGTTCATGAGACGAAATCGGATAACGATATTGATGATGTTGCTGCTGCTGATGTTGATGATGATCATGATGATGCTGATGTTGATGCTGATGATGGTCATGGTCATGGTCATGGTCATGGTGATGGTGATGACGACGCTGATGATCATGCTGTTGCTGCTAATGGTGGTGATGATGATGAGGAGGAGGAATATGATGAGGATGCTGATTGCAATGTTGATGATGCTGATGCTGACGGTGACGGTGATAGTCATGGCGGCGATGTTGACAAACTTGGACAATGGTGATGGTGAAGGTGATGCCGATGATGATGATGCTGCTGCTGATGGTGATGGTGATTCGGATGATGGTGGTGCTGATGGCGGTGATGCAGGTGATGGTGGTGATGATGTTGCAGTTGTTGCTGCTGCTATTAGTGATGATGGTCTATGTTGATGTTGATGATGGTGATGAAGGTGTACGGTGGTGGTGAGGGTGCTTGTGAGGGTGAGGGTGATGGCGATGATGTTTTTGTTGTTGCTGTTGCTGGTGATGCTCATGATGATGATGGCGATGCTGCTGATAATAAGGTTGGGGCTGAGGATGGTGGTGGTGGTGATGCTGCTATTAGTGGCGGTGGCGGTGATGATGATGACGGTCTTGTCGTTGTTAATGGTGGTGATGCTGACGATGACGAGGACGACGACGGCGACGATAATGATTGTGATGATCCATGGGGTGATTCACGGCAGAGGGCGCGGTGGGGCACCAGCCACGCACCCGTGGAGTAAGAGACAGTGGAGGCGGATGGTGATGATAGCGGTAGTGAGATCGTTGAAGATGTCGATGACGTTAGTGATGATGATGATGACAATGATGTTCGTGCTGGCGATGACGATGCAAATGATCTTGGTGATCATGCGTCGTAATGGCCGTCGATGATTAAAGACAGGGGGCACAGTGTAGCCGCATCCACCAACGCGAAACAGCGCCTTGGCAGTTTCAACGTTTGCCCAAGACAGAGCCAGCCCCCAGAGGAGACCCCCCCCTGGGGAACCTGAGAGGGAGGGTACGTCCTCGCTTTTTCCCCGCCCCCCTTCCTTCAGGGTGGGTTGAGCAAGGGGAGGAGGGGGAGGCGAAGGAGGAGGATGACGATCGGAAAATATTGATGAGCACGCGTGAATGATACTGATGCGGAAAGGGCTGAGGATGATAAATATAATGATGGTGCTGGTGATGTTGATGCTGCTGATGATGATCATGGTGATGATGATGAGGATGATGACGATGCTGCTGCTGATGATGATGATGGTGATGATGATGACGATTGTAATCATGATGACGATGATGATGATGCTGATGATGATGCCGATGCTGATGGCGATGATGGTGACGATGAGGAAAATGATGGTGGTGATGATGCTGATATCATGACGGTGGCGATGCTGTTGATGATGATGGTAACGATGATGATGGTTATGATGCTGGTGATGACGATGATGATGATGATGATGATGATGATGATGATGATGCTCATGATGATTATGCTGATGATCGTGACGATTATGCTGATGATGATGTTGATGATGATGATGATGATGATGGTGATGATGATGATGATGATGATGATGATGATGATGATGATGATGATGATGATGATGATGGAGATGCTGATGATGGTGATGGCAGGCTGGGTAACAGCACGGGTGCAGGTTGGAGCAGCCACGGCAAATCCTACAGGGGAGATGATTCGGAGGACGAAGAGGCAGATCATGAAGAGAACGATGACGAGGATGGTAGTGATTATGATAGTAGTGGTGGGGATGATGATGGTGATGGTGGTGGTCGTCCACCGGATACCCCGCCCACGAATCCAACAGCGCCTGAACACCCCTACAGCCCCCCGCAAACCGCAGGGTCAGGTTTCATCCTGTATAGGTCATCCCGCGTCCCCGCCTACCAGTCGTGGGCTGCCACATGTATCATCGGTCCAGTGCGTCTCGTTTTCTTCGCGCAATGTTGCAAGCCCCTCTGTCACTCCGGGCCTCGTGAGGAGTGCTCTGGAGGCCATCTGGACCGCCGATGTCGCAGCGCATGCGGCGCTGGGCAGGCCGCGCAGCATGCACTACTCTGGCCCAGCGCCACTCCCGCGTGCCGCCGACAGGAGATCACCAGGGAGCTCGGGCTATGGAGCGGCGCGCAGCCCAGCGGCGGCCTCATGGCCTTCCGCGAGGCGCGTCTCCGCGCCGTCGCCGCCGTCGCCGTCGCGGTCGATTTCGTCGTCGTTGCCGCCGCCGCCGCGGAGGTTTTTGGAGTTTAAGCCTATTTCAGCACCCAGAGGTCCGCGTCCGGTCCCTGAAACCGTCAGACAGAGGTCTGGGGCCCGGGGGGCAAAGCCGCCCAGGGCGGGTGCTAGGAGGGTTCTGGGGCCGATTTTGACCGGCTTTCGGAGTGTGGACGTCGTGGCCGTTGCCATCGCCGTCGCCATCCTCGCCGTCGCGGTCGCCCTTTCCGTCGCCGCCGCCGTCACTGCCGCCGCCGCAGTCGGCGTCGATTATACAAGGGTCGAGCTTCGAGGATCGAGGCTCTTGGACGTGTCTCGATCTTTTTGGGCCCTCAGGAGGCCTCTCGTCATGACGGGTGGATCCGCCTCCAAAATGTTGGTCAAAACGCATTCCAGAGGTTTGAACGAAAGCCGCCAGGGACAGTGTCGTCATTTCCTGTTGTCCTCGTTCTCCGTCGTCGTCGTCGTCGTCGTCGTCGTCGTCGTCGTTTGGCGTCGTCGTTGTTCTCGTCCTCGCCGTCGTGGTCGTCGTCATCTTCGTCGTCGCCGTCGTCACGTTGGCCCTTCGGCCCCAACACGCGGCATCTACAGGGTTCCCAAGGCGGGTCGCATCGCATCGCTACCAGCCTCATTAGTTTTGCACATATAGATATATCACTCGGTCTCGTTATTTTCTCTTTGCGCACATGTATAGGCATGCTCATATAATACAACATATCAATATATGATATACGATAGATAAATACCGCCCCCCCCTGGCCCCGGGTCCCACACCTCCCCGTGACATCGCGGGGACGCTCCCGGTACCGCTCCCCCGGCCTTTCCGGGGAGCCTCCACAGCGCCCCAGGAGGGCCCAAGACGCCTCCCAGGAGCCTCCAGAATGGTCCAAGACGCTCCCAAGCAGCCCAAGTCAGCCTTCCGACGGACGGCTCTCGAGGATCCCAGGTGGCCTCCAAGAGACCCCAAGAGAGGTCCGAGAGGCGTCCCCGGACGGCCCGAAGAGGCCCAAATCGCAGATTCCCATTCGTTTTTTGATGTTTTTGGCTTCTCGCGTTTTCGAGCTTGCAATTGTCCAAGAGCGCCGAAGAGGCTCCCAAGACCGCCCTAAGACCACCCAAGAGACCCTCAGGACGGCCCCCAGACGGGCCAAGAAGTCTCCAAGACTGCCGAAGAGGCGCCCAGGACAGCCCCAGACCACCCCAGAACAGGCCCAAGATTGGCCCAAGAGCGGGAGCAGGAGGCTTTCAGAGACCTCCGAGAGGCCTCCGGGAACCCCCCGAGCCCCCCAACACACCCTCGATCCCTGAGAGGCTTCAAAAAGACCCCGACGAGGCTCCAAGAACAGCCCAAGAGAGCTGCGAGAGCCGTCCCGAGAGAGCCCAAAGAGGGACAAACAGTTGATTTCCAATGTTTTTTCCCAATGTTTTTCGCCTTCTCACGTTTTCCCGCTTGCAACCCTCAAAGATCGAGGATTTTGAACGAAAAGGGAATTCCAAGAATTCCCGCGTTTTTCAAGGTGGGACTTCTACTCGGAGATCCCACAAATCCCCTGACATCTGGCCGGTACCGCGCCTCCCGGGTCCGGAAGATCCCACACCCCTGAGGGGCCCGGCTAACAAAACCCGCGAGGCACAAACAAAGAACAGCGCCGAACAGCGCCGAGGAACTGGAAAATAATGGAAATCCCACAATCCCACAATTCTTTGTTTTCCACAATTCAGACCCCCCTCACCTCCCAAGTAAGAGCCCAGGAAGCTTCCTAAAGAAATTCCTAATCGTTGAATTCCTAAAGATTTTTTCTGCGTTTCCACATTTCCCCTTCTATACGATTCCGAGGCGTGCGCAGGGCCTCCAAGTCCCTGAACGCAAGAAGCGACCAAAATGCGATTACATGAGTTAGCCGATAAGGCCTAGCTAGAACTTGAGCGCGCGCGAAGCGCGCGCGATGGTTCTATAGTATATACATATATGTATATATACGTACACATGTGCATATACATCCCCATATTTTGTGTATACATGAAGCTGAATATGTCTAAATATGTATACATGTCGATTGACCAGTAGCGGGGCAACCGCTGCACAATCGATCTGGGCACCCGCACGGGACACCCGCACGGGACTACCTCACAGGACAACCGCACGGGACACTCGCACGGGACAGCCCGATGAGAGCCAGCCGTATGATTTTTCACAATGTGTGTGTGTGTGTGTGTGTGTGTGTGTGTTGCGTCTATGTTTGCAGCAATGCGCACCTGCCTGTGTGTCTGTGTGTGTCGGCCGGCACGTTCATTTGGTTGAGCGTTTGCTCCGTTTGTTTGTGATATCTCCCCCTTCTCCGTTCGCTTGGTACCCGCCTTTTCCGTCGCCCACCCCAGGGACCAGTGGCCGCTGATATCCGGAAGGTGCTGCAGGACATGCTCCCCTCTGGCAGAGATGCGGGGAAGCGGCACAGACCGCGTTCGCCTGGTCCTCCTCGTGCTGTTCCTGCTGCTCCTGCTGTTCCTCTCGTGCTCCCCGCCTTCGTGCCACCCGTGCTGCTTCTGTCCTCCCGGCTGCCGCCACCCACCTCGAGCTATGCGTGCTGCAGGCTTCCGCTCTCCTGCCGCTCCGTCTCCTCTCCGCCCTCGGCCTCCCCCTCCGCCATCCTCCTCCTGCTCGTCCTCGTCGTCGTCCCTGCTGTCGTCTCCGCCGTCCTCGTGCTCGCCCTCGTCGTCGTCGCCGTTGTTCTCGTCCTCCTTGTCGCCAGGCGTCGTCGTCGTTGTCGTCCTCTCTCTCGTCGTCCTCGTAGCCGCCGTCGTCTTCCTCGTCGCTCGCTTCCCTGTCGTCGTCGCCGTCCTCGTCGCCCTTCTGCCTCCCCTCCCTCTCCGCCGAGGAGCTGGGCCCCGGCGAGCTGCGCCGCTTCCAGGCGGCCTCCCCCCCCCGCGCGCCCCCGCCGCGAGGGGGAAGCGGGCCCTCGCTTGGGAGGCGTTGCCCCGATCGGCGGCTCGCCGCTTCCCCGGCTCACAGGCGGGCTCCGCCCCCCCCTGGCCCCGCGGCCGCCAGCAGACAGGCTGGGGGACGAGGAGCCGCTCCCCGGGGGAAGCCTCCAGGGGCCCGGGGCCCAGCTACTTCTGGGACCCGCTCTCTCGGGGCCACCGCGCTCCGCATCGCCGCGCCCCCCGCGCCGCCGCGCTCCTCGCCGCCGCTGCCGCCGGCAGACCTCGTGGTGGCTGGCCCTTTCGGCCTCCTCCACGTCGGCCTCAGGGGCGGAAGGGGGGTTCGGGCCCATGGGGCCGTCAGACATCGGTCTGCGACGAGGTACTGCACGCGCGCCGAAAGGAAGCGGATCTTCGGATGTGTGAGCTCATCGCTGCCGCCGTCGTCGCTGCCGAGGCCTCCTGTCGTTGCCGCACCGGGCGGCGACGAGTTGGGTCTGCGACTGTGCTGGCCCCGGCGCTCGCTTCCAGGCTTGAGCTCCAGACCGCCTAGACGGGTACGCGCTACGAGCCCTATTGCTCCGAGGTGTTTTCTATTTGAGCGCGTTGGATTATGATGATAGGCGCCAGGTGCATCACAGGAAGTTTAGACCATGAGGTGGCAACATCAATGTGCGCGTATTCTTGATCCGGTCTGGAGTTTCTGAGTGTGCTACACACTTATGATCAATAACATAAGAGCGCGAAGTAGACGAGAGAATTCCATTGCACGTTTTCCCTTTAGACCAGTTGCTAGACGCGTTCGAGGCCATGCAGTCGCCGCCGCCGTCGTCGTCGTCGTCGTCGTCGTCGTCGTCGTCTCCGCCGCCGTCGTTGCGGTCTCCGTCGTCGCCTCGTCGTCGTCAGTTTTCCGAGCTGGTCTCCGACGTGCTCTCTCGTGGGATTCTCGGAGGTTTCAGGATATGTCTTCGGAAGTATTCGGAGGTTTCCAGAGGGCGAGGGCGAACGAAGTGGGGATGAATGAGGAGGGGTGAAGGAGCAGGGGATATGAGGAGGGGGTATGAGGAGGGGGTATGAGGAGGAGGAGGAGGAGGAGGAGGAGGAGGAGGAGGAGGAGGAGGAGGAGGAGGAGAAGGAGGAGAAAAAGGAGAAGAAGAAGAAGAAGGAGGAGGAGGCGCTCTCCAGCCATCAGCAACCAGCAATCAGGAGGAGGAGGAGGCGGAGGAGGAGGAGGAGTAGCGGGAAGAGGGGAGGCTGCGATCGAGGATCCTTTTAGCCGTCAGGAACCGGGAACCAGCGGGAGGAGGAGAGGCAGCAGGAGGAGGAGGAGCAGGGAGGAGGTGGAGCACCAGAAGGGAGGAGGAAGGGGGGGAGGGGGGAAGGGAGGGAGGGAGGGAGGGAAGAGGGAGGAGGGACGGGAGAGGGCCGAGGAGAAGGTGGCAGAGCGACACTTGGTTTCCGGATTTTGGGAGGCGACGGGGCATTGAGGATTGTTTTCAAGCGTGCTTTAGGGGGCGTAAGACAGAAGGAGGAGGAGGAGGAGGAGGAGGAGGAGGAGGAGGATGCAGAGACCGAGGGCAGATGGGGAGGCAGAGGAGAAGGGGGAGAAGGATGATGCCAGAGAGGCATCGCAACCCAGAGAGGGATGTGTGTCACAGAGTCCCGCGCGTGCAACCCTTTTTAAGGGCTGTTTTTTTTCGCGCGCCTGGGGGCCAGGGATTCGCTAGGTCATTCGACCCGCATCTGAATACCTTTCACGCCTTGGTCCAGGCCAGGCTCCGTTCCCAGCTTCCTGGTGTAATATCGTTCCTGGACCCCGTCCAGCCCTCGGTTTAGTGCACCCCTCCCCAGCCGCGCCAAGGCGATGCCCTCCCATACTTACCGGATGGCCCACCGAGCGAGGAAGGCCCATCGGACCCCGTTCTCACAGCACGTCGTTCAGAGCCTGACTTGTGCCGCCTTCCGGGCCGTCGCATTGCCTCTCGGCTGGGAGTACCGCCACAGGCCACGGCGCCCGACGCGCGTTCCCCACCACCCCCACCCGCGCCTCCCCCCCCCCGTCCCGCACTGCACTCTCCTACTACTTCACGCGAAAGCCGAGAAGGGGTCCGCTGTCTCTGGCACGTTGTTGATGGCAAAGTGCGTGTCGAATGTGCACGCAGCAGGTGTAGCAGTGTAGCAAAGCCACGTCAATACCGAGAATATTAAGCAAAGACGGTGAGGCGACAATCTCGCTCTTCTATCCAGACATCCTACGGAATTCGATTCTGCATATTCGCGGGCTCCTGAGGTCTCGGCTCCCACCGAGGAGGCAGTCCTTCGTCCTGGAGTGATTGTTGATGGTCCAGGGTCCCGAAAGAAACCCTGGGGGCCGAAACAGATGCAAAGCGCCCGGATTGGGCGTTTGCTCCCTCTCCTGCTCGTCCTGTCGCTGCCTCCTGGCGGTCAGCCATGCCCAACACTGCCGCTAGGGCGCGCCCGCATCACGGACAGAAGCCACCTGCTCAAGTATGCCACCCCTCCCCCCGTCCCTGCCCGCACCTGGGGCCGCAAAGCGGTAAGCGAGCTGGCGGGCCAGGAGCGAGTTCTGCCCACGTGCAATGGCCCCCCCTGAGATCCGACGTCGCGAAAGCAGCAGCCACATTCCCCAAACACTGCGTGCGCCCAGGGGGGGCTCTCTCATTCCGCTGCTGAGGGCATGGGCCCGTTCGTGGACCCGGCGGCCCCGCTCCCGTCCGTGGCCGCCCCATGCTTCCAAACGGCAAGCACGTGCGCGGCCCCGGCGGCCCCGTTCCCGCCCGTCCCCCGCCGCCACGCGGTATCCCCCGCCTCCCTCTGTCTTTGCATCGCCTTTGTATTGTTTCACATTGCTTTGGATCGCACTGAGTGGCATTGTTTTGCTTTGCATTGTTTTTTGCACCGCGTGAGCACGTTACTCTGTGTCGCTCTGCACTGCCCTGCATTGCTTGCAATTGTCTTGTGTCGCATTGCATTGTGTTGCATTGCTTTGTATTGTTTTGCAAGGCATTTGCATTGCTTCGCATTGCTTTGCATTGCTTTGTCTTGCGTTGCATTGCGTCGCATCGCTTGGCATTGCTTTGCATAGCTCTGCATTGCTTGGCATAGCTCTGCATACCACTTCATGTCAGTGCATAGCTTTGCATTGCTTTGCACTGCTTTGTAGTGGTTGGCATTGCCTGGCATGGCATTGCACTGCTTCGCATTGCTTCGTATAGCCTTGCATAATTTTGCATTGCCTTGCGTTGCATGGTTTCGCGCCACATGGATTGCACCGCATGGATGCACAAGCTAGGTTGCACCACATTGACTGCACCACTCAGATCGGGCCGCATAGATTGCAAGAAATCCCTGTTTGAGGTCCACGCTGTTTGGGCCTGTTGAAGCCAGAAATCACACTCCGAGCTCCAGGCACCATCGTTCAGGGGAACTTCTCGAGCCGGATCGATCCGTCCGCGTGGGCCCCCTTTGGGGCCCGACTTCCGGCGAAAACGCCCTGAGTAAAACAAGCCTGGACGCCAGGTGGTCAGGCTCTGGGTGGTGCTCTCCCCGGGATAGTCCCAGCTGGCCTCAACAGGCCCCCCGGGTAGCTAGCTCGGGGCGTTCTCCGCGGCCCCGCCCCGCCCTGGGGTTGAGGTTCCCGGATGGCTCGTTGAGAGCTAAGAGGGTTCCAGATTAGAAGCCGGCAGCGCACGGTAGCCCCAGAGCTCGTTCTGGCGCGGGTCCAGACACTGCGCAGCATGTCGTTTGAGACTCCAGCGGGTCTCGGCGGCGCTCTCCATTCCCAACACGTGTGACGCAAGCCTCTCCGCAGCTCCTTCACAGAGCTTCCTGGACACGTGCGAAGCTCCTTCCTCGTGCCTGTAAGCTTTCGCGTGCAGGCGTTCTTGCACGCGTCTCCCACAGGCTTTCCCGCGTCTCGACTGCACCGTCACCCGGGGTTTGGACGCCGCAAGTGTTGAGACCGCCCCAGACTGCTGGGGGGAGCCTGTCGAGGCCAGCTGTGACTACCAGGGGGGAGGGGCTGTCCGTGCGCAGCCCGAAGCCTTGCCAACGCCAGGATCTCAGGGTCAACCTCGGCGCCGCTTCCCTTCCGCGTGCTTGGGGGACGCCCGGCTGCGCCGGCTTCACCGCCGCGCGCCCGCCAGGCGCTGGAGTGGGCGCCGCGCCGCTTCTGCCGAGCGGTGGCGGAGCAAGCTGGCTACTGGGCCGGCCCCCGCCGCCGCCCCGGGGTGGGACCGCCGTGGGTGCTCACAGGCGGGTGCGTTTTGGAAGCCAGCCCTTTCGGGGGAACGTAAGACTCGAGTTCGAGGGAGCTCGGATTTGCCGACTCTTTTTGACGGGCTCCTCCTGTGTGCGTTGGCGGACCAGTTTTCGTGGGATGTTTGCAGCGGGAGCCCGCGTCAAATTCCAGATCGGGTCTCGCCATTTTCCCGACGACCCGGCAGACCAACCGGAGTCTACCGAACCCGAATCTTACGTCTCGTCGGCCTTTCTCAGGCATTGCAACGTTGCCCGCCTCGGGGAGGATGGCTCTCCTGTTCGCTGACCCGAGTGCCCGTTGACAAGCGGATTCCCCGTCAGTGGGTGCGCTGGTCCTTCCCACCGCCTCGCATCCTGAAGCCGCCTGCGGAGGCAACCCCCAAAGGCCCCAGGAGGCCTTCGTGGAAGCCTCCGTGGGGCTTCTGCAGAAGCCTCAGGAGGCCCGGACAAGGGTTCCAAAACATCCAACGGCATCGATCCTTCACCCTCCTCCTCTTTCGGATCGGCGCGGGGCCCCCCTCCCTGGCGCGCGGAGCTGGCGCCGGAGGCGCCGCCAAGGGGCTCCAGCTACGTTCGAGTAAGTCTGCGCAGACCTCCGAGTCTTAATGTTTATGTCATTGTTTGGTCCCCTATCGCATTGCCCCACTCTGCGCTTGAGGCCTCCGCGTGCAGCTCTCTGACGCCTGTTGAGATAATCGTCACCCGTTGGTAGCCTGCGTTGCCATCGTGAAAAAAAGAGGGCGCTGGGAGCGCCTGACACAGATCTGCTGTGGAGGCAGCTGGTGCACCCCGCCAAGCCCCCATCACCTTGCCACCGGGGGTCCCATGAAGTTCCACGACAGGTTTTCAGGGCTCCTGAAATCGGCGCCGCGCCCGTCTTCTGAGGAGATTTCTACGCCGCCTCCATAGGCAGAGACGGCTTCCACGAAGGCCGGAGGACTTCTGAGAATCCCCGCCGCCTTCTTGAAGCTGCAGCGGCCTCTCACAGACTTGGGAGCCTTCCTCTTCGCCTCGCCTCTCCCCAGTTCCTCCTCCCAAAAAGATCAACATTCTGAACACCGGACGCACACCTCATGCAGATCGCGATGCCAGGGTCCAAAACCACAAGGGGGGTCCCCCTATTAGTATGCAGCATTTAAATCACAGTGGGTCTGAATGATGCTGTGCCTCGTTCTTGCAACGCCAGTTTGTTTGCAGCAGCGATTTGACATGTATTGCCGACTTCGGTCTAGTCGTTTATGGTCGTTTTGTTCAGGACACGTTCGACACTCCGAATATCGGACACACCCGTCTCGCAGATCGCTACGTCACGGTCCAGAGACACAAGGGGGGCTCAACAAACTAATCTGTATATCTGTAAGTGTCTCGCCCCCCGCCGCAGGCCCCCTCTCTATCACAATGGGATCTATATCTATCAGAGTCGCGTCGGCGGGTCTCGGCGCTGCCCTGGCGCATCTGGGACATGCGGGGGCGGATGGGAATCCGATGCGCGTGTTGGGACGTTGGCGTTATCGACGACGCCTACGGCGAATCACCGCCGCCCCCTGCCCCTTTGGAAGCGCCTCTGTGGCCGACAGCTGAGCCAGAGCTTGGCCAAGCTATCGGGCCAGTTGTTACCCGAGCCGATTTGGAAAGACTTCGGTGAACGGGGGAGCAAAAAGAGGAGGAGGAGGAGGGGGGGGAGGATGAAGAAAAACGAGGAGGACGAGGAGGAGGAGGAGGCCTCTTGGGCGCCTCTTGGGGCACTCTTGGGGCCTCCTGGGAGCTTCCTGGGGGCCTCTTGGAGGGTTTTGAGGGGCCTTTGGCGGCTTCTTGGGGGCCTCTTTGGCGAGCGTTCCTGGCTTGTCTGACGCCGTCGGATGCCGTCTTTGGGGCCTGTCTGGGTCGTCTTGGGGCCCTCTTGGGGGATATTAGGGGTTCTTAGAGGCCATCTTGGGCGTCTTGGAGGCCTCTTGGGCCGTTTTGGGGCCCTTTGGGGGCCGTCTTGGGAGCCTTTCGGGCCGTCATAGGGGCCATCTTGGAGGCCTCTTGGGCGATCTTGGGGGCCTCCTGCGCCGTCTTGAGGCGCCTGAATGCTGATAAGAAGCACATCCCACAATCTTTCAAACGCCTTAGACAAATCAATGATTTTGGCCTCGGCGTGCCCTCCTGGAAGACCTCCTGGGCGTCTTCTGGGCCATCGTTGAGGCCTATTGGTGGCCTCTTCGGCCGTCTTGGGACATCTAGAGGCCATCTTAGGCAGTCTTGGGTGCATCTTGGGCCGTCTTGGAGGCAGCTCGGGGCCATCTGAGGCGTCTTGGCGGCAATTTTAGCCGTCTTGGAGGCCCCTTGGGCCCTCTTGAGGGCCTCTTGGGCCGTCATGGGGCCATCTTGGAGGCCTCGTGGGCGACATTGGGGGCCGTCCTGGTGCCGTCTTGAGCCGTCGGAATGCCGAAAAAAAGCAGATGCCCAAATTCTTCAAAAACCATAGGGGCATCAATGATTTGGCCTCGTCGGGCCCTCCTGGAGGACCTCTAGGAGGCCTCTTGGGCCGTCTTGGAGGCCTCTTCGGGGCCTCTTGGACCGTCGGAGGCCATCTGGAGGCCATCTCAGGCCGTCTTGGGTGCATCTTGGGCCGTCTTGGAGGCATCTTGGGACCATCTGAGCCGTCTTGGAGGCCATCTTGGGCGTCTTGGATGCCTCTTGGACCGTCTTGGGGCCGTCTTGAACAGTCGGAATGCCGAAAAGAAGCAGATGCCCAAATTCTTCAAAAACCTAAGGAAGACCTCTTCGGGCCCTTCTGGAGGACCTCTTGGAGGCCTCTAAGGCTGTCTTGGAGGCCTATTGGTGGCCTCTCGGCCGTCTTGGGCCATCTTGAGGCCATCTGAGACCGTCTTGGGTGCATCTTGGGCCGTCTTGGAGGCATCTTGGGGCCATCTGAGGCGTCTTGGAGGCCACCTTGGGCCGTCTTGGAGCCATCTGGGGCAGGAAAGCCCACGGCAACCATCTCTGGGCAATTTTTTCGGGTGGCCGGCGGGACGGGCCGAAGCCCCAGGGGGAGTTCTTTTAGAAAAAAACCAAAACCAAAACCGAAAGGGTCTAGCACGCCAGGCACCCCTGCGATGAATCGACAGGGGGCGGCGGATCGAAGACGCCTACGGTGAATCACCGCCGCCCCCTGCCTTTTTGGAAGCGCCTATGTGGCCGAACGTTGCCGCCAGACCTGCCAAGCTATCGGACCATGTGTTCCCCGAATCGGTTTGGAAAGCCTTCGGGGAACACGTGGGCATCTTGAAGGTCATCTGGGCCGTCTGGAGGCCATTATGACCCTTTCGGGCCTTCTTGGAGGACGTCTTGGAGGGCTCTTGGGCCGTCTTGGAGGCCATCTTGAGCGTCTTGGAGGCCTCTTAGGCCGTCTTTGGGGCCTCTTGGGGCCGTGTCTTGGGCCTCTTGGGCGATCTTTGGGGGCACTTTTGCCGTCTCGGGCCGTCGGAAGTCGAAAAAAAACAAATGCCACAGTCCTTCAACAACCAGTGGGACATCAATGATTTTGGCATTTTCGGGCCTTCCTGGAGGCCCTCTTGGAGGCCTCTTGGGCCGTCTTGGGCCATCCTAGGGCCATGTTCGGCCGTCTTGGTGGGCTCCTGGTCCGCCTGACGCCGTCGGAAGCTGTTTGGGGGGCCTCTATGGGCCGACTTGGGGCCCTCTTGGAATGCTCCAGGGCGGTCTTGGAGGCCATCTTGGGCGTCTTACAGGCCCCCTGTCTTGGGGACCTCTTGGGGCCGTCTTGGGGCCCTCCTGGGCCGTTCTGGGGCCATCTTGGAGGCCTCTTGGGCGATCTTTCGGCGATCTTTGGGGGCTCTTGGGCCGTCTCGGGCCGTCGGAAGGCCGAGAAGAAGCAAATGCCAAAATTCGTCAAAAACCTAAGGATAATCAATGTTTTTGACCTCTTCTGGAGGCCTTCCTGGAGGCCCTCTTGGGGGCCTCTTGGGCCGTCTTGGCCAGCTTCGCGCCAACTTCGACCATCTTGGTGGGTTCCTGGCACGTCTGACGCCGTCGGGAGCCGTCTTGGGGGCCTTTCTGGGCCGACTTGGAGCCCTCTTGGGGCGCTTCGGGGCCGTCTTGGAGGCCATCTTGGGCGTCTTGGAGGCCGTCTTTGGCGTGTTGGAGGCCTCTTGGGCCGTCTTGGGGTCCTCTTGGGGCCGTCTTAGAGGCCTCTTGGGCCGTCATGGGGCCCCCTTCGGGGCCTCTTGGGCGATCTTGGGGGCCTCTTGGGCCGTCTTGAGCCGTCGGAAGGCCGAGAAGAAGCAAATATCCAAATCCTTCAAAAACCACAGGGACATCAATGAATTTGGCCTCTTCGGGCCCTCCTGGAGGACCTCTAAGAGGCCTTTGGGGCCGTCTTGGAGGCCTCTGGGGGGCCTCTTGGGCCGTCTTGGGCCGTCTTGGATTCTTGGGTCGTCTAGGAGGCCGCCTTGGACCATCTTGGGCGGACTTGGAGACCATTTTGGATCATCTTGTAGGCCATCTTGGGCCGACATGACCATATTGGAGGCCACCTTGAGCCGTCTTGGTGGATTTTGTGTGGACGCTGAGGTGGTTTACGCGGCCTTCCGGGTGGCTGGCGGGACGGGTCGAAGCCCCAGGGTGAGTTCTTTTGGAAAAAAACCAAAACCAAAACCGAAAGGGTCTAGCACGCCAGGTACCCCTGCGATGAATCGACAGGGGGCGGCGGATCGAAGACGCCTACGGCGAATCACCGCCGCCCCCTGCCTTTTTGGAAGCGCCTATGTGGCCGAACGTTGCCGCCAGACCTGCCAAGCTATCGGACCATGTGTTCCCCGAATCGGTTTGGAAAGCCTTCGGGAAACACGTGGGCATCTTGAAGGTCATCTTGGACGTCTGGAGGCCATTTTGACTCTTTTTGGCCTTCTTGGAGGACGTCTTGGAGGGCTCGTGGGCCGTCTTGGAGGACATCTTGAGCGTCTTGGAGGCCCCTTGGGCCGTCTTGGGGGCCTCTTGGGGCCGTGTCTTGGGCCTCTTGGGCGATCTTTGGGGGCACTTGGGCCGTCTCGGGCCGTCGGAAGGCCGAAAAACAAACAAATGCCACAATCCTTCAACAACCCGTGGGACATCAATGATTTTGGCCTTTTCGGGCCTTTCTGGAGGCCTTCTTGGGGTCCTCTTGGGGCGTCTTGGGCCATCCTAGGGCCATGTTTGGCCGTCTTGGTGGGCTCCTGGTCAGTCTGACGCCGTCGGAAGCCGTTAGGGGGGCCTCTATGGGCCGACTTGGGGCCCTCTTGGAATGCTCCAGGGCCGTCTTGGAGGCCATCTTGGGCGTCTGAAAGGCCTCCTGTGCCGTCTTAGGGGCCTCTTGGGGCCGTCTTGGGCCCTCTTGGGCCGTTCCGGGGCCATCTTGGAGGCCTCTTGGGCGATCTTTCGGCGATCTTTGGGGGCTCTTGGGCCGTCTCGGGCCGTCGGAAGGCCGAAGAGAAGCAAAAGTCAAAATTCGTCAAACACCTCAGGACAATCAAGGTTTTTGGCGGGCCTCTTGGGCCGTCTTGGGCCAGCTTCGAGCCAACTTCGGCCATCTTAGCGGGTTCCTGGCACGTCTGACGCCGTCGGGAGCCGTCTTGGGGGTCTTTCTGGGTTGACTTGGGGCCCTCTTGGGGCGCTTCGGGGCCGTCTTGGAGGCCATCTTGGGCGTCTTGGAGGCCATCTTGGGCGTGTTGGAGGCCTCTTGGGCCGTCTTGGGGCCCTCTTGGGGCCGTCTTGGAGGCCACTTGGGCCGTCACGGGACCATCTTGGGGGCCCCTTAGGGCGATCTTGGGGGCCTCTTGGGCCGTCTGGGGCCGTCGGAAGGCCGAAAAGAAGCACATGCCAAAATCCTTCAAAAACCGAAGAACAAATCAATGATGTTGGCCTCTTCGGGCCTTCCTGGAGGACCTCTTGGAGGCCTCTTGGGCCGTCTTGGAGGCCGCTTGGGGGCCTCTTGGGCCGTCTTGGGCCATCTTCAGGCTATCTTAGGCCGTCTAGGGTACATCTTGGGCCGTCTAGGAGGCATTTTGAGGCCATCTGAGCCGTCTTGGAGGCCATCTTGGCCGTCTTGGAGGCATCTTGGCCGGGGCAGGACAACCGTTTGCAACCACCTCTTACGGGTGGCCGGCGGGTCGGGCCGAAGCCCCAGGGGGAGGTCTTATGGAAAAAGAGCCGAAACCAAAGTCATATCGTTCGGCACGCCATGCACCCCTTTGATAAATCAAAAGGGGGCGGATGATCCGAGTGGCCTTCGGTTCATCCCGCCACCGTGCCTGAGTTGTGGGTCTGAGGCCTATTGTATATGTGCTGGGCGGCTTGGGTGCTTCTTGGAGGCCTCTAGGGGCCTCGTGGGAGCCTCTTGGAAACCCCAAGAGGGCCTCTTGGAGGCGGGATGGGTGCCTCTTGGAAGCCTCTTGGGGCCTCGTGGGGTATTTTTTGAGCCTCTTGGAGGCCTTTTCGTGGTCCCCTGCTTGGGCCCCTCTTGCGGCCGCCTTGGGGCCATCTTGGGGCGTCTGGAGCGCGTCTTGAGCCATCTTGGAGCCCTCTTGGGCCGTCTTGGGCCCTCTTGGAGGCGTCTTGGGCCGTCTTGGGGCGATCTTGGGAGCATCTTTGAGCCGCCTTGGAGAGCGTCGGGAAGCCGAAAATGCGAGAAGGCCAACATGCTGCAAAAACCTTCGTACAATCTACAATGTTGGCCTCTTGGGACTCTCCTGGTAATTAGGCCTCTTGGAGACCTCTTGGGGCCTCTTTATGCTTCTTTTGGCCGTCTTGGAACCATCTTCGGGCGCCTTGGAGCACTCTGGGCTTCGGCAATGCGGATACGGCGCGTAATTTGCGATGGTGTATGGGCTCGCGGGCGCGAAAACGGTGTGATTTACGAGGGCTTGTTGCCTCGGTGACGCAACACTTGCGCAATTGACTAGGGATTATTGTGGCCTCGGCAGTGCGAAGATTGTATAATATGCGAGGCTTCATTGCCCCAGGAACGCGAACATGGCGTACCTTACGAGGATGTATGGCCTCGGGGGGGGGGGGGAATCGCATGTATTTTTACGTGTCCCACGACCCCCCAGGCATTCTGAGGATGTGACTCGGGCGTGATCACCCAGCGGTTTTGGGCCCCCGATTTGCGCGGACAGTACAATATTTACAGTATGAAGCCGAGAATCAATTATCACGCAACTGGAACCTGCAACCGGAGCAGGGAGCAGCAAGCCTAAGCCTCGCAGCCTGATGGCCCCGCAAGGGGGCCGGCAAATACATGTATAGACAAGCATCGACTATAACATTGTTTGCAGTTGTCCCATCACAACTATGACAAGCTATTGGGATTTCAATGGATTGAAAGGTATGTGTGCAAATTTGGCCGAACCTTCGTTTTGTCATGCCCCTGGGGGTTCTCCTAAACATTTTGTCACATCGAGAACTGTGGTAACCCCGTCTGCGACCCCCCGCTTTTTCAGTTACTGCAACTGCAGAGTGTGGAAACATCACCTGCGCCAAACTCATCGAAAGTTGTGGCACCCACGGTGATGGACACATCCCCAATGGTCTTGTTTACATCCCGCAGTTATGTTTGTACGATCGAGCCTGGGCACGCGCGTCCACTCGTGTAAGATCGCGCGCGCACCCTTCTCATAGAACGACGGGGCAAACACTGTCGTGGGGAGGCTCTCATCCTACTCTCTGGCCTCATCCTCTTCCTCGTCAATTCCTATCCCGCCCCCTCTTCCAATATGTCTTCTCCTCCTCCTCGTTCTCCTTGCCCCCCCTCCTTTCTCCTCTCCCCTTCTCTATCCTCCCTCCTCCCTCCTCCACCCTCCTTGTTCTCCCTCCCTATCCTTCCTGCAGTCTCATCCCCATCCCCCTCCCGCTACTGCTCCGTATCCGTTTTTGCCCAGGCTCTTTTCCTGACGTGTCATCCCTCCTCACCGCCCTCGCCCGCCAGATGTCGATCGGGAGGTCCTTCCCGCTGACGCGTGCGGCCGCCAACTCGCGCGCCCTCGTGGTGGGCAACGGCATCATCGGCCTGACGACCGCGGCGGAGCTGCGCAGGCGGGGTGTGCAGGTGGTCGTCGTGACGGCGGCGCCCCGGCGGCAGCGGGCGCCCGGCCCAGGCGCCGGCGCTCCCGGGGGCCCCGGGGCCGCGGCGGACGTCGCCGCCCTCCGGGGCCGCACGGACGCGAGCAGCGTGGCGGGCGGCCTGTGGCTTCCCTACAGGGCCCGGCCGGAGGGGCGCGTGGACGCGTGGGCCCTGCGCACGCTGGCCCGCCTGCGCGGGCAGCTGTCCGCGGCCGAGGCCGCGCTGCGGGGCGCCCGGGGCGGGCGCGCCTGCCCGGCAGGCGGCGCCGGCGTGAGCGACGACGTGCGGCTCGGCCTCGCCGTCGAGGAGACGCCGGCGGCCCTGGCGAGCACGCGCCCGTTCGGCGAGGTCGAGCACGAGGCCCCGCCCACGTGGGCGGCCGAGGCGGAGTTCTGGCCGATGCACCGCTACGAGCGGCTGCCCAGGGGGCAGGCGGAGGGCGCCCTGTCTCGCATGTTCTCGCGGAGGGCTGCGAAGATGCGGGAGCAGCTGATTGCGGAGGATGAGGAGGAGGCCGTTGCGGCCGGGTCCGCCACAGAGGGCCTCCGCGGGGCAATCCAAGCGCACGCGCAGTTCGTCCCTTCGTTCCCGCCGCAGGTCCAGTCGGCCTCCGTATTCCTGAGCGTGACCGCTGATTCCCCTACGTACATGGACTTGCTGGAAGCGCAGCTGCAGATGGGTGAGAACTGCGTGGAGTTCGTATACGACGGCGGCGGCGATGTTTTTGCGAGCGCAGCCGACGTAGCGGATTTCGCGAAGAGGGCGAGGTGCCCCATTGTGGTCAATTGCGCGGGGCTGGCGGGAGCGCGGCTTCGCGCGGAAGCGAGCGGCGCAGAGGGAGAGGACGGAACCACCGCCAGGGAGGAGGACGTGATGGTCGGCGGCCGCGGCGTGCTGAGCATATTCCAGCGGCCGGTGACCCACGAGGTCGGGGTCGAGGTTGCGCCAGGGACGAGCGCGCGGCGCCGCATCTTCCTGCCCGCCTCCTCGTGGATGAGCATCCTCGAGGATGGCGAGGGCGTTCTCGAAGGCGGGATGCACGTGATCGACGGAGCTCGGCCCGCCTACATGATCCCGCGCGGAGGCGTCGTGGTCTTCGGCGGCGCCTACGACGAGCACGGGGTCAGCAGCAGCTCGGCGCGCGAGCGGAATCCGCCCGGGCCGTCATATCTGCAGGCGGCGGCGGTGACAGACGACGAGCGTGCGCGCCTGGCCGCTGTGGCGAGGACACTGATGCCGCAGATCGCGAGCAGGGCGAGCGGGGTGGTGGAGCCCGCACTCTGCGTGGCGGCGTTCCGCCCCGTTCGGCGGGGCGGCGTGAAGGCGGGGGTCGACGCGGAGTTGTCGGAGAGGCACGGGGTGGTGTGGGCCGACAACTACGGGCACGGCGGCGCAGGTTGGACGACCTGCTGGGGGTGCGCGGAGGACGTGGCGGAGCAGAGCGTGCATCGTCTCTGCGAGACGTAGGGTGCGGAGAAATTTAGGCGCAGTGAGTCGTCGGTCCTCCTCCTCCTCCTCCTCCTCCTCCTCCTCCTCCTCCTCCTCCTCCTGCCGCTCCTCCTCAGCCCATCCCTCCTGTTCGCGCGCGAAGGCCCCTCTGAGGAGCGCGGATGTCCCTTTCCCGGGGACGGGTGTCGTTCTTCGCGTTTGTGCTCATGTCCGCCCTTCTCTCTTGGCAGTGGCGCTCCCCCTCATCCCCGTTCCCCCTCCCCCCTCCGTACCCGTCTCTCCCTGCTCCACTTCCCGCTCCCGCTCCCATCCCCATTTCCCTCCTCACCTTCCTTCCCAACTCCGTGGGCTTCCGATGGAGTGTTTCTGTTCAGTCCGCGGGCCCCAGAGGTCTGGACCCCTCCCATCGGGGGGCAGCTTGTCGTCCTGGAACCATGTTGGATGACCCCGGGGCCTGCAATCAGGCTGGAGGATCGGCGCCATGATCGAGGGTCTGGTGCTTGGGCTCCCCCGCCCGACGCGTGCTTTTCGTCCCCCCCCCCCCGCACCACCCCTCCCGCTCGGCAACAACGATTGGCCCGAGACCGCTCCGCCGATCCTCCGACGCGCCCGAGCCCGGCCAGGCTCCCGGCCCCCTTGGCCCCTCGTCCTCTCTCTGCGAGCCCCGGGGGGAAGTCGAGAGGGGGCTGGCCTTCTCAGAAGGCTCGGGATGCCCCTGGCCTTCTCGGAAGGGCGGAGGGCTTCCGAGAAGCCCCGCCGCCTTCTGAGAAGACCTACCCGCTCTCACTTCCCCCCTGGGCGCGCCGCCGACTTTCGGCCATGGCACGGGGCACCCGGACGGCGCCGTACGAGGCCGTGTCGAGCGCGGCCGCCGCGCTCATGTCGGGCGAGCCCGAGGAGGCGCCCCCGCTCGACGCGGACGAGGAGCTCCTGGTCCCGCGGGCACCCGCGGGGCCTGCCGCCTCTTCGCCCTGGCGGCGGGCGCTCCCGGTGACCCTCGGCGTCGGCTGCTGCCTTGGCCTGGGCGCCGCCGCCTGGACTGCCGGCGTCGTCGTCGTCGTCGCCGCCGTCGCCGCCGCCGCCGCCGTCGTCGTCGTCGTCGTCGTCGGCGGCGGCGTCGTCGGCGTCGTTGTCGTCGTCGTCTTCGTCCTCGTCGTCATCTTCGTCCTCGTTGTCTTCGGTCTCGCAGGGCTTCGGGGAGTTCTTGCCGCGGCTGGACGCAGCTCGGAGGCTTTGCCAGGTGGGCCCCGGCCAAGTGTTGAACGGTTTTGGGGCACAGGTTCGAGCAGAGCGATGCGGATGTTTTTGCCCCTCGATCTCGCCCTCTTCTGCCTCGTGGGGGCCCTCGTCGCCACGGCCGGATTCGCCTCGGGATCCCGGCCAGAGCGCACCCCCGTGGGAGCTCCTGGGAGCAGCGGTGTCGGTATCTTGTCCCCCCGAGGATGGGCCGAGGCGCGTCTGCCAGGGGCGCGCTGCGGACGCAGCCGTCCCAGGGCCTGCGGCTGAACTCCGAGGCCGAGACGAAGGTGAAGGAGGACGAGGGCCAGGGCGGAAACTTTGTCGTACACGAGGGCCTCAACTGTGTCAACGGGTTCGGGGCGGAGTCGTTCGGCGACGGCGCGGAGGGCGAGATCGACGGGAAGACGGAGTTCAGCCTCGACGAGTGCAAGCAGGAGTGCCGGAAACGCATGCCGACCTGCGAGGCCCTTATAGTCGTCACCGACGGGTCGAATTCCAGGTGCTACCTTCGCACCAGCGTTGACGTGGAGAATTGCTACGACGGCACCCCGTACAACCTGTGGGTGTGGGACCCCCAAGCACCCCCCGACAGCACGGATCCCCCCAGCGCGGCCCCGACCACGGCCCCCACGCCAGCCCCCGCCTCGACGGAGGCCCCGACGGAGGCCCCGGCCCCGACGGAGGCCCAGGCTCCTGAGTCCACGACTGCGACCGCTGCCGCTCCAGCGCCTGCGGCGACCACGACGCCGGGGGAGTCGGTCTTCGACGTGGACGTGGCGGACGGCGCCCCGCAGCAGGCGGGCAAGGAGAGCTCCGACGAGAAGGACAGGGCCGGCCTGTGGAAGGTCGACCAGCTGAACCACTTCTGCAAGAACCGGGACATGGACGACACCGTGACCGACCAGGCGGAGTGCCAGGCCAAGTGCGGGGAAGGCTGCGCGGGCATCGCGTACTCGGACAAGGCAGGCGGCGCGTGAAAGACCGGGGGGTCCCCGTGCGCGGGCGGCCGCGCGTGAGCTGCCCCTCGTGAGGTCACGGGCGGGCGCCCTCGTCTCCACGCGGGGTGGCGCACCTCTGGGGGCCCGACCGTGGGCCGCCGCGCCAAGTCGCCGCGCCCTCGTGCGCAAACCCCCCCCCCCCCCCTCTCCCGCCACTCCCCCGCTCCAGGTGGACCTCTCCCAGTACTGCTACCTCTGCCGCGACGACAACCTGATCCCGTCCGCCAACGACTTCCACTTCTACCGCGCCGAACCCAGGCCACCGGCCGAGGAGCCCACTGCGCAGATCGCCGCTGCGCAGATCGCCGCGGAGGATCCCACGGCGCCAAAGGACCAGCCCATCTGGAAAAAGACGGAGGGCGACAGCGCCAAGGTTGAGAAGAAGGATGAGAAGAAGGAAGAGAAGAAGGAAGATAAGAAGGAGAAGAAGGATAATAAGGAGGATAAGGAGGATAAGAAGGAGGAGAAGGACAAGAAGGAGTCCGCCAAGGAGAAGAAGCACGACGAGCCCGAGGAGGGGAACAGCGAGTCCAAGGCGGGGTCGTTCTTTCCTGTTTCTCCCCCTCACCCCCTCACTTCTAACTTCCCCTCATATTTCATCTTGCCTCGTTCCTCCCTCCCTCTTCTTCCGTCCTCCCTCCCCGCTCCCCCCTTCCTTCTTCATCATCCATTCTCCCTCCTTCCCCCGCCTTCAGTCCTCCCTCCCTCCCTCCCTCCCTTTCTTCATTGCTCCTTTCCTTTCCCTCCTGTCAGCTCCCTTCTTCATTCTGTTCCCTTCATTCCATGTTCCTCCTCTCCATCCTCTCCCTTCTCTCCCTCCTCTTCCTCCTCCTCCTCCTCCTTCTCCTCTCCCTCTCCACCTCTACTCGGACCCTGTGTATGCATTTGTGGTCAAAGCCTACGAGGCTCAGATCGATTTTGAGCTTTGCGACCCGCCTGAGCAATTGCGACTTGCCGTCCTTTGTCGACAGCTGGCGGGAGTGGCGACTCGTGATCTGCAGCTCGAGCGGCAGCGACACCGTCTTGAGTCACGCGCGATGGTGGCTCGTTCGATTGCCGGTGTGGTGTATAGGCAGGATGCACGGATGGCGCGCGCTCTTCGCGCGCACCACCTTTGGACTAGAGCTGTGATGTTGGTCTCGGCTAGCGGGGAGGTTTCACTAGCGGACCACGCCAAATTCAATGCGCTGCACGCAGGCCTCCAGCAGCAGGAGGCACGTCGTCGGAAGGAGCGTCTTGAGCAGGAAGCCGAGGACGCTCCTTGCCCCGGGCGGCGCCAGCGTGCGCTTGGCAGGAAGTCGGCGGCAGCTCGGCGGGCGCAATTGTGGAACCCGCTCCGACGGCGCAAGTTTTTGGCATGCATCACCTCGGCGATCGAGGGCTCGGGCGCTGCAGAGCCGCCCAAGACGGAACAACATACGATTGACATGCGGTGTGCGGAGGGCCCCAGAGGTAACCTCGAGGCTCTCGCGCAATCCTGGCGCCCAGTTTTCGAGGAATGCTCGCCTGTGCCACAGACTGCTGCCAAATTTACGGCGCGGTTCCAGTCCAGCAGGGATTTCCCTTCCTCCCTCCGCCGACTCTGCGGCTCCTCCGCTCCTTCCTCGCTCGCTCCTCCGATAGTGCCCCTGTGCCCGATGGTCTCCATTTCCGGGCCTGGCGTGTGGGGCATGGAGCTCAGATTCTTTACGATTGTCTGCTCTGGATCATGAATGGTTGCCCGATGCCCCTGTGGTTCTCAGAATCACTAGCGGCGTTCCTCCCAAAGCCGGTTGCAGGCGAAGCCGACGAGCTCGAGGCTCTCACCAGGTCTTCTGGGCACACTCGCCCGCTAGGTCTGGGCCAACAAAGTTTTTGGGGGCACGTTTAATCGTGCAATCTCCCCAGCTTTGCGCGGGTCGGCAGCGCTGCCAGAGGGGGTTATCCCTTGGCGCAACTTTGCTGACAATATTGTCGACGTCGACACGGTAGCACGCATGGCTAGCATCAATTCGCGCGCTTTTCGCCCGCGGCCGGGAGACGCGCGCGGATCCGGACGTTCCAGCGGGCGTTCTCAGAACGTTCCGGCGGACCTTTCCCGGAACGTTCTGGCGCAGAAGGGCCGTGCTGCGCCGTCTGAGGGGATAGCCGTTGATCCTGGGGCTGTTATGTCGCCGTCGTCGTTTCTGTCGTTTGACTTTGCGCAAGCGTTCCCCTCGGTGCGGCAAGAATGGATGCTCATGAGTCTTACGTGTCATACGCTGCCGTCTGGTTTCCTCCTCTCCATTTCTGTGCTATACCACCTCAATCCTTGCTACTTTGACGACGCGTGCATGCGGGAAGTCATTTATTGGATTCATTCAGGGGTTCTGCAGGGCTGCCCTCTTAGCGGCACGCTGTTCATGTCTTTATTTCGAAGATATAATCAAGCATGTTGATGCCAAGAAGCGTGGTTGCACTCGAGCCTGCGCTGATGATGTGGGGGTTGTGGTGTGGAGGCGGCGGGGATATTTCGCTTTAGCCCGTATCTTCGCGCTTGCTAGCAAGTTGGCGAATTTAAGGTTCAAAGCCTCAAAGCGCAATGCTGTCTCCCATCGATGGCCCTCTTGAGTCGGCGTCGGCCCCCCTCCGCGCCATTCTCTCTGAAGACGATGCTGGTTGGGTGGCCTTTAATATCGTCAGCAAGCTGGTCTATTTAGAAGTCTGGCTTGGTCCCGCGGCGACTTCTCTGGATCAATGGGAGGGGCCCGCCCAGAAGCTGCTATCTAGAACCATCGAGATTGCCGGTACAGGAGCCCACTTTGACAGATGCGTAGAGCTCTATGTGCAGCGTGCCTTACCCGTGCTTTCATATAGAGCCCAACTGTCCTTTATGCCCCAGGCCATAGCTGTTCGTGAGAGGATGTTATTTGCTCGTCTTTTGCGCGCCCCGTGCACGATCGTCTCGCACCCCGAGTGGTTCGAACTCCAGTCTTGGGGGCTACCTCGTCTGCACAGTGCTCTCTCCGTGAATGCGGCCACACTCATGCGGTGCTCTTTGGCGACCCTCTCGACATGGTAGGCTCAGATCGCCCGCCTGCGGACAGCCGCGGTCTCATACGGGCCCGTGGCATGGTGGCACTCCCCACGGCACGCACCCGAGTTTTGGCAGTCCGAGGCGATCGCTAGCACCCTGGAGTGGGCCTCCCTGGGCTTTCCCCCTCGTTTTCCCTCCCTCGATTCTCCCGCCTGTCCCACTTCTCGCCTCCTCCAGTGCGCTCTGACCCAGGGCGGAGCGGCTGCCTTGCACGTGTTTCGGGACCCGGCGATCCGAGAAGCGAGAGGGAGACCGCGGTGGAAGGGGAAGTTTGAGCTCTGCTTCCAGGCTGCCTTGTACCCGACCCCTTCCCTCCCCGCTTGCATCCTCGTCCGTGTCCGTCGTCACTTCGACTGGGAAGGGACAGAGGCTGCCACAATGGAGTTGCTGCAGATGACCCCCCCCCGCGTGGGCCCGGATTGCTCTCAGATCTTGGCTGGGTTCGTGGGTCACGAGTCGCAGGATGGCCCGGCTTGATGCTCAGTGCGTTTTCGGGTGCGATGCTCCCGACAACGTCAATCATTATATTTGTTGCTGCCGCAGATTACAGTATGTCGCCTCCATGGCTCTGCATTCATTTCTCCCCAGGGACCCCCTTTTCCTCCTTGGACTTTGAGGTGGTTCTCTGGCCTTTGTAGTTGCGTGTTACCACGCACATCGTTTAGCGTCCTATCAGAATGCGCTTCCGCTGTCCCTGCCCCAAGCCGACCAGTTAATCGACGCCGTGAGGTTGGCCACTCGTCTCCCAACGCGGAGGCGTCAGCGGCATCTGTTGTGCCGAGCCTTCCTCGACTCCATTGTGGAGCAAGCGCGGCTGGTAGAGTGGTTGGGATCTTGACTTCTTCCCTCACGCTGCGCCTCCTCCTCATCCTCCTCTCCGTAGCCATTTTGGCTCAAGTTGAAACCATCGCCCTGTGGCTTCAGCTTGGTCGCAGCCGAGGGAGGGGCGGGTCCGAGCTGCTGTTTCGGACTGAGAGGCCGTCGTGAGCTTGTCACAGGGGCTCACTACCCGACCATTTCCAGGCTCCGCATCACTCTGTCTGCGGACACAAGTACACGAGTCACTCCAGTCATGCCTGCGGAGCCTGGTGAGTGCCCATGTGGGGGCAGGTGACGACGTGATCGAAAGGACATGTCCTACGACACGGCCGTGGGTGGTCGATCAGGCCGCAGTGGAGGTGGTCGCCGCTCTCCTCACGTTCGGCGTCACGCACGCGTTCGGATCCACGTTCACGTTCGAGACACAGTGCGACGGGGCAAGAACCTGGGCAGCTGGCCTGAGTCACCGCCATTTTCAGGAGTATTGGTAACCAGACGAACGACGTCAACGCGCTCGAGCGTTCCATGAGTGATAAGGTCCGCTCCGTTCAGGAGGACTTCATCAACCAGCAGGAGCAGATCACTGCTCTGAGCCGTAGAATGGAGCAGCCCGCCGAGGCGCAGGCTGCTGAAGTCGCCCAGATTGTCGAGAGCTCGATGAAGGAGCCTTTGCAGGCCAAGTTCGCTGAAGTGGAGAGCGAGCTTGCGGATCTCCCTGCTGCCCAGACTGCGGCTTCACAGGCAGCCCTTTTCTACTCGTTCGTCACGCCCGCTCGCATCGACGGCATCCGGATCGAACGCCAGCCGAGTGGAAGATGATGATCAACATGGAGATCGTAAGAAGATTTGGGTGGGTGGGTTTCCTAGGCCACTACTCAAGAAAGTCCTCGACACCTGTGCTGCCAGTATGAAGTCGCACTTCCCACAAGATGTTCACAGTGGAGTGACTGCCCAGAATTACAACCACTCGAAGCGTTTCGCCTTCATCGTGAATTCAGACGCCGAGGCCACGTGGTTCCACGACACCGCCAATCAATCGGGCCTGGTCTGGTGTGGACGCAAGGGTCAGAAGCAAGTACACCTACGTGCAAGGTTTCATGCTCCCACAGCTGTTCGTGCGAAGCACAGAGTGCTTGGCCAACTCTGGCAGATGTGCACATGCCACTGGCGCCAGTACGAGATCGACGCGCAGAATTGGCAGTTGGGCGGCAACGGATTTTTTCGTGGGTTCCTGTTCCTGACTGTGGATGATGAGATTGGCAGCGGCTTTTTCCTGAAGGCCCACGGCCGCGACCAGTGGACTTTCGAGCCAGAATATGAGACGCTGAACCGCTACGGCATCTCGACGCAGCGCGCCGATCGCATGAGCACGGCCGCGATGGAGGCCGTCCACTAGGAGTTCCCGCAGTCTTTACAGCCACACGTTCGACACCTTTGAGGCTCGGTAGCGCTCGGCTGCCGAGGGGAGGCATGTCGGCGGGGCGGCCTGCTGCGCACATGCCTGCACATCATCTTAGTGAGCAGGGGAGCACATGTTCAGATAGTGATGTGAGTTCTTCCTTTTCGTCTTCATCTTCTTCCAGCAGCTCTTCTAGTTCTGGGGATCCTGGATTTGAATGGAGCGACAGTCCGCATGAGTTTTATGGCAGGGTTTCTCTGGCTTCGTGGAATACTTGTTCGCTCTTCGGGGCATCCTGGTCTACCCCCGCTACGCTTAAAGCTGAACAGGATGTCCTTCACCGACTTGTGGCGGAGCACAATCTTGCTTGCGTCCAAGAGTCGCGTGGCTCCAATTATGACTTGAAAATGGCTTGTAACGACGTCTTGGGTCTGCAAGCAGTTGGCGCCCTCTTTCCTGGTTCCTATGCTCCCGCAAGTGGCCGTGCCTTTTTTGTAAGCCCAGGGCTTCGGCGAGACTTTGTTCTCGAACAGCATGCTATTATTTCTCGTGAGAGGGTCCACATGATCACGCTGAAGGGCAAGCGTGGCACGCTCGTCGTTGCGAATGTACATGTAGACCCTAGCTTCAGTGTTACCCATCAGAAACAATTCCTGAGAATAATTCGCCGATGTACCCCGCCGGCTGTCAAGGCTGTCCCCGCGATCGCCGGGGGCTGGAACGTCCCTGCACCTGGGGGGGGGGCGTGCAGATGTCTGGGCAAACTGTGTATCCTTCCAGGAATCTTGGGGCTGAGTTCTCCAGGGTGTTTTCCGACTTCGCCGAAATTGAGCAGCCGTTGGCGACCCGCGGAGTTGTGCGTGACGATCGCATTATTTCGGCAGGCTGGCTGGATAGGATCTACGCGAATGCGCACTCCGCCAAGCTCCTCGACTGCGCCCCCAACGACGCCCTCAGCGGTGGCCCCCTGCGACTGGAAGCACCCCTCGGACCACGTGCCAGCATGCGTTGTGTTACGCAACTCTGGGCCTCCAAGTACTCCCAAGGTTCCCTCCTGGCTTTCGAAGCATCCTGAGTACCCTGAAGATTTAAAAAGAACAGTTTGAAGACCATAGCCCCTTCAATGATGACCCCTGGGATGCCCTCGCAGAGCTCTAGTATCTCATTCTCGCTTCAGCAGCCGCGTTGAAGTCTCGTCTGGAGTTCCGAGGAGAGCCCTCGCTGCCCGAGTATATCGCCTGGTCGCTCGCGGCGATGCGGGCCCTCGCCGCTTGGCGATCCAGCGCAGACGGGAGAGCATGTTCAGCCTATCCCAAACTCGCGGACTTCATGTGTAGGTCCACTCGCATGTGGGCGAGTATACATGCCTTTCATGCTCACCTTGCCGATGTAAGCCAGCAGTCACGTCGTGCTCGCGCGCAAGAGGAAGACGCCAGCGACGAGCCTGAGCGCAAGCAGAAAGCACAGCTGCATCGCCTCACGGAGCACGCTGCCGCTTGCGGGGGCGAATGGGAGGGTTTTCGATCTTTCGGCGATTGCTGACCCTACAGGGCTCAAGATCTCGGACCCAAATGACGCATGTAAGTGCCTAGCGGGGCATTGGGGGTCAAGTTCATGGGGCGGGAGGGGATTTCGAAGCCGACGAATGCGAGCAGCTGCGCCCCTTCGCGCCTGTGCTTCCACACTATGCGACTTGGGTCCTGGAGCCTGAAGAATTTGAGGAGATGGTCACCAACAGCCGCGATGCTAGTTCTGGGCCCGACGGAATCCCGTGCAGTGCGTTGTCCAGGGCTGGTTCGGAGGCGGCCGGAGTTCTGCGTCAAGCTTTATCTCGCTCTCCTTGGAGGTGATCTAGGAGGTCCGTCCTTGAATGAGGCTCTCGGCGTCTTTCTGGCGAAGGGTGAGGCCCCCGAAGACCGGCGACGCGGCGCTTCAGACCCTAGCGCTGCGCGCCAGGAAGAGAACCAAAACATACTCAGCTGCAAATGGGCCGCGCAATTCTGTCGGCGGCTGACCTCCGAGGCCGACCGTCCCATTTGATTGCCGCGGCGGTGCTGCGCGGCTTCCTCTGCCCCTGCGTCGACTGCAAGACGAAGCGCGGCTCCAGAAGCAAAGTCTCCGGGCAAGAGTTGTCTGTTCCAGCTCTTGTGATAGATCTCGATCCATGGCAAGTCTGTTGCCAGGGTCCGAGAACCCAGTGCGATGTACTACCTCCAGAGCTTGCCGTCCCCGTCTGCATCGCCGAACGTTGTAAGCGTCTACCTCGTCATCAGATTTGTTCTGCGACCAGGCGGCAGGTTCTCCGCTCAGGCTATTCATCAGCTCTCTCAACTTCTTCGCCAGATTGTCGACCGCCGCTTTTTATGAGGATCATGGTGAGAAGCATGAGGAAGGAAAGGGAGATGCCCCTCCAGAACAACCCAGAGCATCCCGAACTCCGCAGTGCCCGCCCGTAGACCTTCTCTGGAATCTCCCAGTCGCCATTTGTCGAGCCCTGCAGCCTCGTCTTCTTCCCCTGATTGCAGGTGGCAGCTGATTTCTGGCATGGCATGGATGAGCCTAGCAACTAGCGTTGTAAACATAGTCACGAGGCACATTGTTTGCCCTGATTCAGGTTCCGGCGACCTCGCGGATCGATCTGGTACGAGAAATCCCGCATAACGATGACGGAATTACACATTGAATTTTTCATATCGTCATACTTTGCCACGGCGTCGGATGTTTGGAACGTTTTCCCCTCGAATTATTATCCTTCCTTTGTTCCTCACCCCTCGTCTTCATCGCCCCGCCCATCCTTCTCAATCTCTCATTCTTATCTTTTCCCATCTGCTTGAACACCCTGCCTCCCGAAGGGGGAGAAGGGGGAGGAGGAGGAAGAGGAGGAGGAGAAGGAGGAGGAGGAGGTGGCGGTGAAGTGTGGTTGGCATTGGCCTCCCCTGAGGCGAAGCCGGCCGGGGGAAGGCCGATGGGGAATACCACGGACACGAAGGAATCGAAGAAGCAGAAGGCCAAGGACATTGAAGCGAAGGCCGTGGAACAGGATGACAAGAAGGGGAAGGAGGAGGAGAAGGGCGCGAACGCCTCGAAGGCCGCGAAGAAGGAGAAGGCAAACACTACCAAGTCGAAGTCCGCAGATACAGACGAGGATGAGCAGAAGGGCAAGGCAAAGGACTCGAAGGCCGCGGCGAAGGAGAAGGGCAACACCACCGGTGCGAAAGCCGCCCAGAAGGAGAGCAAGAAGCAGACGGGCGAGAGGGAGGGGAAGGGCGCTAATGCCACGAAGGCCGCGGAGAAGAACGGGACCAGCACCACCAATGCGAAGGCCGTGGTGAAGGAGGAAAATTCGCAGAAGGGCAGGGGGAAGAGCGCGAAGAGCGTGGCGGAGGAGAAGGGTGCGAATGCCACAGAGGACAATACCACCGAGGCCAACACCGAGGCCAAGGCCGCGGACAAGGATGATGGTAAACTTGAGCAGAAGGGTGATGCTAAGAAGCAGAAGACGGGCTCTTATGTGTCGAAGGCTGTTGAGGAGGTGAAGGAGGACAACACCACCAAAGCGAAGCCCGCGGAGAAGGTGCAGCAGGACGAGAAGAAGGAGAAGGACGCGAATGCCACGAAGGCCGCGGAGAAGCAGAAGGCCAACGCCACCAGAGCGAAGTCCGTGGAGAAGGAGGCGAATGTCACGAAGGCTGCGGCGAAGGAGAATGTCAACACAACCGACGCCATGCCAAGTGGGACAACCGTCGAGGCAGGCGACGTCTCCAACGTCACGCGGCTCGAAGGCACGGGCTCCGCGAAGAGCTCTGGAAGCCACGCGGGCGTGCGCAAGGCTAAGAAGGCCCGCCCGCCCGCAACGGGGGCCATCCTCCCGACCAAACTGCGCTCAACATCTGTCCCGGGACACTTCCTGGCAAGTTTCCCAGCCTGGATCTATTTTTGAATTGTCTCTTGGGGCCCTGAACGGGCCCACGGACGGCAAAAGCGGCGAACAAAACGGATGATACCAGATCCCCGATCCTCGAGCATCGATCGTGTTGGCTAGAGCTCCTCCGGGCGAGGACGTCGAGGATGGAGCTGGCACGAAGGTCCAGGACAGCCCTCGCGCCCTGGAGGGGCACTCTCAGAGTTTGGGCCCTCCACCTCGGGATGTCCTTCGTTTAGGGGGTATCTCCCACGGGGCCTCGGGCTGTCGGCGAAGAGGCCCGGCTTCCTGAGCCGTCGGCGTACCCCCTCTTTCCGGCCGCCTCCGAGAAGGCCGCGCGCTCCCCGAAGGAGGCGGGCCACTCCAACAGGACGACCGCCGTGGGCAGGGCGGCGAACGCATCGGAGGAGCGCGCCCTCCGCTTCGCCTTCGTCGTGGTCGCCGCCGCTGCCGTCGTGGTGGTCGTCGTCGCTGTGGTCGTCGCGTTCGCTGTTCCCCTTAGTCCGCACCCAACTGTTCGATCGTGAGCCCTCCCCTCATCTCAGAGGCCAGCAACATATGTACACGTACGCGGTTCGCTTCCCCTGGAGTGCGTGTCAACGAGGACGTTCGTGCAGGCAAGACCGCGGAGGGCGTACATGTACATATGTCGTTGCTCGCCCATCATCTGGCTCTTCCTCCTCCCCCACTCCTCCGTAGCCGCTGTGGCTCCATCCGTCCCGCAGACGAGCGCCTGGCCCGAGCTGGCTTGGCGTGCGCCGCTGGTTGCGCTGGAGGGTGCCGCAGCGGATGACTACGGGGGGCTGCCTGCGTGGCGGCCCAGTGAGCTGAGGTGGCTCGAGAAGGACTCCCTCGGCGCCTCCGCGGCAAGACGTGCGGCCTGTCGAAGTGGTACCGCGAGCGTGCGTCGAGGCCGGCACTGCAGAGGCTGGCAGCAGTGGATCCTGTTCCTGGCTCGACTGGGCTTTTTGAGGGTGGCCCTTCGCCAGAGTGACCTCTGGTGCGGCCTCCTCGAGGTCTTTCGATCGCTGCACGCAGTGCGCCAGCAGCGGCTTACGTGCCTGGATCTGACCACCCCGCGTCCCACGTTCAGCCGCGCACCGACGATCACTCTCACCCAGGGTCGCTCTTGCGTAGACTCGACTGGTGCGCAGCGCCTCAGACGGCAGGCTGCCTGCCGTGCGCGACAAGTGCCGCCCGGCGGGTCCTCGGGCGCGTCCCCTGCAGGCCTGACCTGGGCGGCAGCGGGCCCTCGGCTGGGACGTGGTGCGGGCGCCATGCGTGCCGAGGGTGCGCGGTTTGTGCCGCTGGCACGCGTGGAGTCACGGTTTGGCCGCAGCACTGGTCGGCCGCAGCCTCTGCGTGCCCGTTGGTCATGACAACACACCAAGCACTACGCGAAAGCTCAGCCACATGATGTCGATGGCACGAGCCATCAACAAAGAGAGAGCCCCAGACCCCAAGATCAGGAGAGGTGACAGTCGGCTCGGAGCTTCCAGGACAAATGATCTCAGGAACTTGCCAATTGACCAAGGTCTCCCCACTGTGTCTGGCTTCGGACACTCGTTCCCCGGGTGACGAAACGCGCCATACATCCAAAGGGTCTATTCATACCCCTCGTCGTCAACTCTCAAGGCGGCTTCTCTAATATCAGAGTCAACCAACTTCTCCCTGATGTCAGCGCAAGCTTCACACTCTCACAGGCGGTGCCAAATAGTATCTTGACAGGAACGGTAGAGCTGACACACGTCGCTGACCTTGTAGCTTGCGAGCTTGGCGCTGCTGGCTGTCCAGATCGCATTGCAGGCGGGGGCCCTCATAGTCGACCTGTCGTTAAACGAAACCTGTTTAGAACCTGACAATGTCCCAATATAACCTATGATGAGCACTCAGTTTCTCCCCCGAGGCCCTCTCAAGCCCCCTGTAAACCGCGGAACGGCACAATGATCCGACAAGTCTCGGGGGAGTCAACATAAGCTGAATGGTTTCTCCCATGCCATTGACAATCGTGCGAAAGCTCCCCGTCTTCCAACCAAGCCTGCTCAATCACATCCTCAAGGCCGACACATGGCCCTTCACTTTCTACCAGGACCAGTTTTCCTTGGAACAAACACACTTCCCAGGCACCACGCAATGGACAGGGCACCCTCGAACGCATGGGTCTGCCTCAGCCACAGCTCCTTCGCCCATCGCACGATGGGTGCAACGCTGGCCCGACACTGAGGATCACCCTTCAGCAGCGCAAGAATCGTAAGAGACCCGTTTCAAGACTTGGGCGTAACCGACGACATGCCTTTGCTTCTCAAACAGTGAAGCTCCGTGTCGGAAACCCCGAACATTTCGCAACCATAAGTGACGCCTGCCAGCGGACCAGAAACACAAATCTGAACCGCAGACTTCCCCGAGATCGATTGTTGCCTTTTGGGTCTTTTGCATTTCCCTAAAAAGCTGGCTTGCCCAACCTTATATTGTTCCCCTTCCGTAAAGCCTGGGGTGGTAGTGCGCACCGACCTCCCAGCCGTGTAATCAATGCCGATGTTGAGTTGACGGACGACGAAGACGGCTTCCCGCAGAGGTGCCCAAGTATTTCTTCTGGTTGATCGGCCACGGCTCTGTGACAGCAATCGCACCCCACCTTGTCGAGTGCCACGGCGCAGCCAAGCTCAACCGTGAGTTCCCGATAGAGCATCTACAACTTCGGAAACTGGACCTGTGTACGGTAAACAGGTGTCAACCACATGAGCGCCGAAGTCGGTTCTCAATTTCAAGTTGACACGACCGGGGGATTCCAGAGCGAAGACGCGGATGAAGGCGGTGACCATGGAGCAGCCCGCCGCCACGCCTGTGACGACCCAGAATGGCCCCTCGACGATGCCTCCAAGATTGAGAAACCTGCAAGACTTGTAGGCCGTCGTAGAGACCGCCTCAAGGAATTCGAACCTCCAACACTGTTGCCCAAGGTACCTCAGAAGTATGCTTGCATAGTACTTCTGCGAACCATAGAACGCCGAACCCGATGCCAGACCTCTGGAGGTCGCCGCTTCAGCACGAAAGCTCTGCCTCCAAACCACGTCGGCCGCCCCACGGTTGGCACCCGCAGCCCAATAGGGCTTGGCAAACTTCCTCCCAAGCCAAGGCGACAGGACGTCTAGCCCTGCCCCAGAGACGGTACCAGGACACGAACACCCCGATGGGGCGGAAACCTCCAGAAGGCTTAGGCAGGAGGGCCATACGGACAATCATCATTTGTTCAAGCAACCTCCCAGTAGCTTCCATAACCAGGAACAGCCCCGCAAGGGCTTCCAGGGCCTGATCGGACAACAAACGGAAGTGACGCATGTGGAAGCCATCCACAGAGGCAGCGCTACCTTGTCAATACGCTTTGCTGAGCTGTCTCAGCTCGGATAGGGAGAGACGAGGAAGAGCAGGGACACATTGCGCAGGCTCACGAGGAGGGCCTTCTCCTTCCCACCACGACTGGAACAGCTTGCCTTCGGCTCTTAACAGTGTGCAGGGATCGGCCATGACTTCTCCAAATGCCGAAATCGCCGTGGTGGGGACCTAAGGAGCCGGATCCCTTAGCAATAGGTGAGCTTTTTCTCCCTCCTTTGCCCAACCCTTCATTTAACCACTCCTCCCAACTAAGCTGCTCAGCTCTGACGAAGGCCTTCCTGGCAGCCTCGAGCTCAGGCTGCAGATCCTCGAGGAGCAGGTCAAGCACCTTCAAAACAGAACCTTTCACCTTCGGCGACAGACAGGTCTGCGTTCTGACACATACTTTCGACTGCAACTCTAGCTCCGCGTGGGGATGAGGAACGGTTGGGCTGCTTCCCCCGACCCGAGCAATCTCCTGCACCGAGTTGGGGAATTTGCTGGCTAGATCGCCAGTTCGCTGAAACAAGAAAGAAGTGCGTGGCCAGCGCTGACTGCGCCGACGCAGGCGGACGCGATAAGCTGGCCAGCAACTTGCCTGGCTTGGGCCCCTGCCCGCAGAACTCCGCCTTCAGAGCCCTGACTTTCGCGTTCAGCCACTGGAGTCCTTGAAAGAGAGGGTCCTTGATGGGGGGTGGGGGGGGTGGGGGGGGCGCCTTTAAACAGCGCGCCTCCGCTAAGCGTCGCTGATAGCGCTGCGCTAGATCCTCTTCCGAGAGGAAAGGCCAGTGCCACTCCTTCTCCTCCTCTTCCTCCTCCTCCTCCTCTTCCTTCTCCTCCTCTTCCTCCTTCTTCTCCTCTTCTCCTCCTCTTCCTCCTCTTCCTCCTCCTTCTTCTCCTGCTCCTTCCTCCTTCTCCTCCTCTTCCTCCTCCTTCTTCTCCTGCTGCCGCTTCCTGGCCCGCCCTCGCCCCCCCCACCCCCTCCCTGGCGGCCAATGCCACTCCTCCTCCTCCTCCTCCTCCTCCTCCTCCTCCTCCTCCTGCTCCCTCCTCCTCCTCCTCCTCCTCCTCCCTCTCCTCCTCCTCCTCCTCCTCCTCCTTCTCCTCCTCCTCCTCCTCCTCCTCCTCCTCCTGCTCCTGCTCCTCCTCCTCTGGTTGCGAGGCCGTCTGCGGTGGATGCGATCTCAGTTTGGTGCCTTTCGTCGCAATTCTGCGCGTTGGGAGTTCAAGGCTGCCCGATGACCAGTGGTATGTACTTGTTCTTCTGTGCTTTCCATTGTAGTGGGCCGTATCGAGCAGACTCCGTTTCGGCTGAGCCGCCATTTCGTTCTCAATGGAACCGGTCGAGTGTGCGACCTGAGCGTGGTCTTGGGATGGAGTGAGCTCTCAGTTATCCTGGTTTTCCTGGTGCTGGCGTGAGGGACTCGCTCGTGGTATCGGTTTTGGTGTCGTTCCACGTACTTCCCGTTCTGTGACTCCCGCTTCTGGGTCGTGTCGTCCGTCTACCTGCTCGCTTTCTTCCACGTGAAGCTCAGGGGGAGGTAGGTGCTTTGAACTTCGCATCGCGATGGGGCCGATTCCGATTCCGATTCCTGCTCCTCCTCCTCCTCCTTCTCCTCCTCCTCCTCCTCCTTCTCCTCCACATCCTCCTCCTCCTTCTCCCCCCCTCCTCCTCCACCCTCGAAGATCATGAACCATGACTTCTTGTTTGTGTGTTGGGGCTGCTACTGGCTTTCGAAGGCCTCCAGGAAAGCCCCTTGCCGAGGAGGCCTCCATGGACCCACTATCGTACCTCCTCCCCCCTCTCTACTTTTCCCTGCCCGGCCATACTTTTATGTTGGTTGCTCGTGTTTCTTCCCAGGCGGGATTTCAAACAAACATTTACCCGAGACGTACCCAGCCATGTCAACGCTAGTCGGCTATTCGAAGGAACGCTCCATACGAAATAATACGTTGCAGGGGCACTCTGCTCCTCTGGACCTCCCAGGAAACCGCGACAGTGGCAAAGATTGCGCACTGCGCACACACCGGAGGGCCACGAGGTCTCGGCTCGTTTCGCGCACTCCTACTACGGAGCTGCGGGGTCTCGGCTGGGCGAGTTTACTGCCCTACTCCGCCGTGCCTCCTGGGAGCGCACGGAAGTGGCTTCCCCTACTCCGTCGTGCCTCCCAGGAGCGCACGAATGTGGCAGCAAGTGCACAGTTCACAGCCTCCCAGGGAGCAGCGAAGGAGGAGGCAGGAGGAGGGGAGAGGATAAGAAACGGGTGTGCGACCGCAGTTTCATCCAAAACGAGAACCCGACACACAGCTGGGCTGGGAAAGCATATGGCAGTTTATCCAACCATATGGAGCTGCGAGAAATGCGCGGCAAACCTGGCGATATGGTGCAGCTTCCTGTGAGGCCACAGAACGCGCGAGTGGTGTACCCATTTGCGCGGCGGCGACGCATGTGGACGCAGCCATTTTGGCCGTCGGTGGAGCTCCCCATGGAGCCACGGGAACGTTCGCGGCGTGTGCAGAAATGGGCCGCGGGGGCGCATATGGACGCGGGCGGCCACTTGGGCCTTCGGTGGAGCTCCCTGTGAGGCCACGGAAATGTGAAGGGTGTGCCGACAAGGGTTGCGGGGACGCATGTGGACGCAGCTATGTGGGCCTTCCGTGTAGCTCCCTATGGGGCCACCCCGCGTGTGAGAAGTGTGCCGAAATCGGTGGCGCGGGCGCATGTTGACGCAGCCACTTGGGCCTCCGGTGGAGCTCCCAATGAGGCTACGAAGCGTGTGAGGGGTGTGCTGACATGAGTTGCGGGGGCGCGTGTGGACGTAGCCACTTGGGCCTTCGGTGGGGCTCCCTATGGGGCAGCGCAGCCGCGAAATGTGTGCCGAATAATGCGGCGTGGACGCATCTGGACGCAGCCACTGCGGCTTTCGGTGGGGCTACCTTTTGGGCTATGAAACGTGTGACGGGCGTGCCGGCATGGGTGGCTGGGACGGATGTGGACGCAGCCATTGAGACCTTCTGTGGATCTCCTTTCATTGGAGCTCCCCGTGGCGCCCCCCTGTCCCTTCCCTCATATTTCCACCCCCTTATGGGGTGGTGCACAGGATGGCAAGAAGCAAGACGGCGGCGCGAACCAGAGCGAGGAGAGCGAGGAGTCGTATGAGGACCGACTGGCCCGCGCGAGGATGACGTGAGGAAGGTGCAGAAGGCGGGGGAGGAGAATGTGGGCGAAGGGGCGGGGGAGATGGGGATGAGGATAGGAATGGGCGATGAAGAAGTAAGAGAAGGAGGTGGAGAAGCAGGCGGAGCAGGAGCAAGAGAATGAGGAGCGGGGGGAGGGGGAGGAGGAACAGTTATTGGAGAGGGACTGGGTGTGGAGGAAGGAAAACTTGGGAGGAGGACGAGGTGCAGCGGTGATGGAGGAGAAAGGGGGTTTAGGTCATCTTAGGAAGAGGAGGACTGTCAAGTGCGCTAAAGGCTTGTAGCTCCCAGACTCCAGAATTGCTCATCGCGTGTTCGAGATTTCAGCTTTTGCCACGCGCCAGCCAAGATGGCATGTTCACCAGATGGTTTCCCGCTCGCGAGGATAGCCCTCACTCCCAAGCGGGCGTCCGCCATTCCTCCTGCCTCCCTATCCTCTATGCGTTTTTTCACGACCGTCCAGCCTTTACAGCTCGAAATCGCTACTGTGGTAAAGTTTGCGCACCTGCCACAGGGCAGCTGCATTCTCATGAGAGCCAGGGGCGCGCTGCATTCTCATGCGGCCTGATAGAGAGAGCTCCTCAAAGAAATCCATGGTTGATCTATAACACACACACGCACATACATGTATACATATATGTATGTATGTATGTATGTATGTATGTATGTATGTATGTATGTATGTATGTATGTATGTATGTATGTATGTATGTATATATATAGCGGGCGCTGGCTTGAGATTCTGTCGGTTCCATTCCTCAAGCAGTGCGTGCACCATGAGGCTCTCAGCTCGTTCTCTAAGTAAGTGATTGGCAGGACCTTCCAGACGTGTGATTCGGTCGCCCGAGCTGCGTCCGTGACTCCTCGTGACCGCTCCGTGCACCTGGCCGGTCCGCGGGGTGTTTGACTGGTGGGCGCTTGTGGCCGCCTCGTGGCCGAACCCCCCCCCCTCCTCATGGGCCTGTTTTCCACCACCACCACCATAAGTTGGAGGGGGAGGGGGTCTCCTCCTCCTCCTCCTCCTCCTCCTCCTCCTCCTCCTCCTGCTCCTCCTCCTCCTCCTCCTCCTCCCCCTTCAACTTATGGTGGTGGTGGTGGAAAACAGGCCCATCACCTCCCCCGCGCGGCGGCCGGTGCTTTCTGGGCGTTCGCCCGGTGGGCGCCCGTGGCCGCTGCGTGGGCGCCCCGTGCACTGGCCGGCGCTTCCGGGATGCACTCGTAGAGGTCTCCCGTCTTCAGCGAGCGCGCTGCACTGCTCGCAGGGTGCCTGCTCGCAGGCGTCCGGGAAAATCGCAGGTTTGCCTCGAGGTAGTGGATCGTGGATCCCCCTTGGCGGATCCAGGCCGTCTGCGAGAAGTTACTTTTGCGAGTAGTGGAACGCGCTTATCTATGCAAAAAATAGACTCTATCATCATCCTTTTCCCCCCTGGGGTTATCATTTCCCTTCTCGGGCACCCGGCAAATGTTATATGACTGCCCCCACGCTCGCTGTCCGAATATATTCATGCCATCCATCAACAGCAACCACTCTTGGGCTTTCCACCACAACTCTTGCACATTCTTGGTCCGCGCCGATTTGCTGAAGCCATAGAACATACATCTGAGTTTTGCAATCTCGCCCAGGGACCCCGTCTTTTGCCATCAAGCGGGGCATCCACGTTGATCCATTCTGCGCACACTGCACGAATCCGTATCAAATCATACCATGCGGGCCACTCGCACGCGCCGCCACGTAAGCGTGTCGAAATCCGTCCAAACTAATTGGTGCCCGAAGCAGTTCAACATTGAAGTGCTTGCGCGCCAGCGTGGCCGCTTTGTGCGCGAGCTTGTGCGCGCCAGCGCGGCCGCAGAGATGCGCCAGCCATGGCCAAGCAGTCATCGCAATCGCCGCCGAACGGCTTTCGCTAACCAAGTTGCGGGTGGGAGGCTGGGATGGTTGCGCGAGCAGTGGAGCTGACAACTCATGAATTGACATAATTTGTTGCGCACCGCAGATCGCACCACGCAGAGTGCACCGCATAGCTTGCACGACATGCGCCGCACCACGAGCCACTGCACCATATTCGCCAGCGCGTGCCCCACACAACGCTTTATCGCACTGTGGAGGTGACAACTACTCGGCGCAAGAGATGTGGTGGAACCAGTATGTGGTGAAAGCATTGTGGTGCAAACTATGTGCTGTAAGCTATGCGGTGTGGGCTGCGGGTGATCGCTATGGAGTGTAAGTTATGCAGTGTAAGCTGTGTCGGGAAAGTATTGTGGTGTCAGCAATGTGGTGTAAGCTAGGTGGTTCGAGTTATGTGGTTCCCGATATGTCGTGTCAGCTAAAAGCACGGGGCGCCTTATACTCGTCCACGAAACGGCACGCGCCGAATACCCCCCAATCGCGGGGCGCCTGCGAAACGGCACGGGCGGCAACGTGGCGCAAACCCATCACATTCCCCAAGCGCGGCGCGCCCACGAGGCGGCAACGTGGCGAAAACCCAGCATGCCCCTGCCCACGAGTCGGCACGGGCGGCGACGTGGCGAAAACCCAATACAAACCGCAAGGGCGGGGCGGCCGCGAGGCGGCAACGTGGCGAAAGCCAAAAATACAGCCCAAGCACGGGGAGCCCACGAGGCAGCTCGGGTGGAAATTTGGCGAAAGCCGGGCATACCCAATCAAGTATTTGAGACAGCAGGGTGAGAACCACCAAGGGCAGACACTGCTCGGGGAACGTCTCTTGCACAATGTCGACACTATTCGCCGCAGGAAGAGTACTGTCGACACATTTTTATTAGTGTGTCGAGCCGCCGGTTTCTGCCCGCCACGCTGCGGCGCGACACAGTAACCACTTCCTCGTCTCCAGGCGTCAGCGTTTCGAGTCCCCCTCCGCGGAGAGGAGCGACGCGCTATCCGCTCGCATGTCACAGCGTGTCGCCGGAGCCGCCGCCCCGTTCCCGACCGTATATTCTACCCCCGTGACGAGGCTGGGGTTCGCGGCACCCCTTCGCGTATTGCCTGTCCACGTTTGCTCAATATGGTGTACCTTTACTGTGGAATCACCCCATCCAAATTAGGTTGATATCGGCTACCCCCTGCATCTTTGTCAACTACTACCATGCGGCGTGCATGCGTTGATCTGATACGTGCATTCTGTCATGTCCATGCCAAATGGTACCATGCGGGCCACCCGCGCGAGCCCTCTTCGCTCGCATGCCAAATTCAGTACAGAGTGGCAAGCTTGCGGCAGGAGTCCCTAAACAGCTTTACACAATGACGATGGAGGCCACGATGGGGGTGACGATTAGGTGGCACGATTGGGGGATCGAGATAAGGATAGGGATACGGGTCTGGATAGGGACGTCGGGCTAGATAGGGATAGGGAACGGCATGGTGACATGGACAGGGATAGGATTTGGGATAGGGATATATGACAGGGATGGGGATGCCAGTGATATGGAGATGGACAGACGGGTTGGCATCGGGATAGGGGTAATTAGGGAGGGGCAACAGGATAGTCATAAGGTTGGCATGGGAGGCCGCAGGAGGCAACGGGAGGCAACCGGAGGCAACTGGAGGCAACAAAAGGCCACGGGAGGCAACGGGGGGCTTCCTTCAAATGAATACGTGGCAGATTGTTCTGCGCGTGCACATACCGACATCATACTAAGAAGAGCACGTCTTTCCTTCTATCCCTGTCAAAGAGGACACTGTGGGCCACACACGCCCATCATATTTTCGAAGCATCTCAATATGGATCCTTTCAGCTTGAACAAGGAACCAATTGCCCATGCATCAGAAGTCTGATAGGCTTCTCCCACCGCCTTCTTGTCCGCCTCCTCCTCATCATCATTATCATCAATCATCATTCTCATTATGATCATCGTCAGCATCATCGTCGTCATCATCATCATCATCGTTGTCATCGTCGTCAACATTCACCTCCGCATCATCATCATCATCATCATCATCATCATCATCATCATCGTCATCATTATCACAATCTGCATCATAGCATCAGCATCAGCATCAGCATCAGCATCAGCATCAGCATCGTCATCATCACCACCACTATCATCATCATCATCATCATCATCATCATCATCATCATCATCATCATCATCGTCATCATCATCATCAGCATCGTCATCATCACTTCTCCATCCTGCACGTGGATCTGCATGAGGAGGTTCCACGCGCCTTTGCGCCTGTGGAGATGTACTAACACTTTTCCTTGTTATGTCTCATCGGGCTCAGTGCCTCTTGAGCACTGCAGGCACATTGCAGGTAGGGTGGTGGGATGCTTGCTCGAGCAATACAGTTGACGATACTACTTTTTTACGAACGGTATGCACAATAAGGTGCACCCGATATATCATATATCCAGAGTGCGATAACTCACTATTGAGGGTCCTCGCTGGCAAATATCCCAAATGGGTTGCCGTGATCGGCGTCTTGGGAGAACGTGCTGCTCTCGACCAGATTTGGGGGCCCAGGGTGGCTTCAAACCCTCGCGTTCCCCGCTCTCAGCTCGCCTCCCCGGACGGAGGCGAGGTCGAGAGCTTATGCACGCGCGCATGTGCACGCAGCGGCACCCCAACCACGAGCTGATGATCACATGAGCAGCGTGTGCACTGGGCTCCGGCCTTCCCTGCCTGCTGCCGTGCGGATCCATAGAAGTAGAGGCGTGCTTGCGACTCGTTTCTTGTTCGTTCTCGGTCTGCACCCTGCGCCCTGTGGCTTGGGCCGATTCCCCGGCTGGGCTCACCCTCGCGGCTGGCGCCTCGTTCTCCACTCTCCCCCTCCATCTTGCCCACTCACCATTCGCCGGAAAACCGCGCCTTCACGCCCTTCTCCCCCTCCTGGGCCTTCCCCTTCAACGCCTTCTCCCTTCTCCAGGTGCCCCCCCCCCGCCAGTCCTCGCTGCCGGTGCCCCGCCCCCCCTGTCGGTCCTCCCTCAGCCCCACGCACTCCTCCCTGCCCGAGGAGCGGCTCGAGAGGGAGATCCCGCCGGAGGAAGTGGCCGTGCGCTAATCGGCGACTGGCAGAACCTCTGGCCGCCCGGGGCTTCGGCCAGGAGGAGGAGGGAGCAAGGCAAGGGGGGAGAGGGGGTGAGGGAACAGAGGGGGAGGCGGAGGCGGAGGGGGAGGAAGAGGAGGCTCAGGAGGAGGAGGAGGAGAGGGAGGAGGGGAAGGAGGAGAAGGAGGAGGAGGAGGAGGACCCTACGATGTGCCGACGACGCTGCAATACATCCTGCCGTCCCGAGTCTGCTCTTCATTGGTCCCGGCAGGCCGTGCTCTTCGCTGCTGGAAGCGGCCCACGAGCGCCCCACAGGCCCGCAATTCAGGCGGGAGCTCTGTTTTGAAAGAGGTCGCCGTCCACCCCTGTGAAGAGGGCGGCACGGTGGACCTCTGAATGCAAGGAGGTGCCCAGCCACAGCCCCGCTCGGAAAGGACATAGCCCTGCCTTCGTGCAGCTGCTGCCCACTGTCACGCGTGCCGTTGCACTGTTTGAGAAGTTATCCGGCGAGAGCCCATTTTTGAAGATGCACTGGCCTCCATACGTGTATATGTTGGGAGTTTGTGTGATGACGGTTGTGTGTGGCGCTGGGGCGATAGCCACATTTTGCACTTGTTGACAACGACCGGCCCACCAGCCTCGTAACTTTTGGGTGCTTTTGCGAATGTTCCGCGGCGCCAGCGCGATTGCCAGATTTTGAAATCGATATGTGGGCAAGGCTCTAGGGTGAATGTTCACTGCGCTGAGGCGAGAGCCACATCTCAAAAACGATTGGCCCTCCATCCGTGAGCAAGGTTCTCAGGTGAATGTTCGCGGCGCTGAGGCGAGAGCCAGCCACATTAAAAAAACGACTGGCCCTCCACCCTCCACCCGTAAAGCTCTGGGGGGCATTCGGAATTTTGGGTTCATCCGCGGTATGGTCGCTTCAAGCAAGACGCCTGGCCAAGTTTACGGGCACAACCGGTGGTGTGACAGAGAGGAGGAGTAGGCGAGGCCCGCGAGGAGTGGGCGAGGCCCGCCCGCATTGTGACAAAGGTCTGCAGTCGAAGGTCGCGAAGGAGGGGTAGGAGCGGGAGAACGGCAACGACGAGGATGAGCTGAAGGATGAGCTGGGGTCGGGGTTAGGAGGACTCCTCCCCCTCCCCCCCTCCTACCCTCCCCCTTCTCTCCCCCTCGCCCTCGACGAGGACGAAAACGGGGCGAGCGGGGGGGTGGGGTCGGACGAGAGGTGTCGCGGAGCCTGGTGCCCCCGATTCCCGCCAGTCGCCTGGCGCCCTCGGGCAAACGGCCGCGCCCTGCGCTCCCGGGGTGGCGCCGCGCCCCCCCGTGCCGCCCGGATTGGCGGCTGCTCGGCAGCCACACGCGCGGCCACCTGGCGTGGCGCCAGGGCGCCCGCCGCTTTTCGAAGAACGAAACAGCTGTACAGGCACGATGTCTCGGAGCTCCGCGCGGATTTCTTGTGTCGGCGTTGTGCCCCCCATGGCGGCGCCTGTGGCGCCACCCCTGGCGCGCCCCGCGCTCCAGGGAAAGGGTTCCAGCGCCTATCCAAGAAACCCGCGCGGACCTCCAGTAAGTCATGCCTGTGCTGCTCTTTTTTGTTCCTCTCGCAGTTGCAATAATTAGGCTCTGGTCTCGAGCCACATGCAGGCCGTGGTCCTTTCGCCGACCTGCCAGGAAGCTGGACGCACGCGGCGCGGCCGGCCTGGGCGCTGGCCGGCCTTGCCGGCCCGGCCAGGTACGTGGGCGCGTCCTTGCATGGCCAGAGACGTCCGCACGAGTACCCAGAGTGTGGCCGTCGCGTGTTCCGCACATGAGTCCAGCAGTGTGTGCGCGTGTGTGTGTGTGTGTGTTTCCAGCTTCCTGGTTGGCAAGGGCAGGGTGACCCTGGGACAATCAATCAGCACATCCCCAGGCGGAGCAAGGTTCCAAGTCAGCCGCCAAACACTGTCAAGTCCGAGTGCTGGTGTCTTCTGATTTATGTCCAGAAGGATTGATTGATTGTTCCTGCCCCTCAGCCCTTCGGGTGGCAAAATAACCACAGGATCGAGGAGACCCCTCAAGCGATTTTTTGCGTCTGCCTTCCGTGCTACCACGCTCAGTCCGTCTATTGCAGTCCAGCGCAGCCATGATACATGTGGTCTTCTGGCTCAGGGCATGGGTGTTTCGTGGAATCCCAGCGGCTAGAGGCAATCCTTGTCAGAGAGGAGGATGAGGAAGCGAGGATGAGGAGGATTATTGAGGTGAAGTGAGGGGGGATGATGATGCTGCTGATGATGATGATGCTGCTGCTGCTGCTGCGGATGATGATGATGATGATGATGATGATGATGATGATGATGATGATGATGATGCTGATGCTGATGCTGATGCTGATGCTGATGCTGATGCTGATGCTGATGCTATGATGCAGATTGTGATACTGATGACGATGATGATGATGCTGATGCTGATGCTATGATGCAGATCATGATAATGATGACGATGATGATGATGCTGATAGTGATGATGGTGATGATGCTTAGGATGATGATGATGATGATGATGATGATGATGATGATGATGATGATGGTGATGATGATGATGGTGATGCTGATGCTGATGATCATGATGATGATGATGATCATGATGATGATGATGGTGATGATGATGATGATGATGATGATGATGATGATGTTGATGATGATGATGATGATGATGATGATGACGACGTTGATGATGATGCTGGTGATGATGAGGAGGAGGGGGAGAATGAGGAGGAGGAAGAGGGAGAGAGGAAGTAGGAGGAGTAAGAGGATGACGATGAGGAGGAGGAGCTGAGGAGGAGGAGGAGGAGGAGGATGAGGAAAGGGAGGAGGATTAAGAGAAGGATAACGAGGAATACGAGGAGCGAGGAGCGAGGAGCGAGGAGGAGGAGCAGGAAGAGCGGCGATGGGCGAGACGGAGGAACCCGAGGAGTGATCAGGCGGGAGCCCGAAGCTCCCCTAGAACTATCACTGCGAGCGGCGAGACAACAAAAGCGCAACCACAGCTTCAGGGATCGCAGATTTGATCTGGCGCCACGGCACTCCGGGCACCCCTTGCAAAGTCCTAGCGGCACCCCTTGGCGAAAGCAGGCTAAGCATACTTCTCATAATGATGACAGCAGCGCCAGCATGATGGTCTCAACAACGAATCGCCCCGAATCAGCAATCGCGGGACTTGAATTGGATTCGCGTGAGCTGGGAATCCTCGCTCCGGCTTCTTCTTGTCCTCTTCCTCTTCCTCTTCCTCTTCCTTCTCCCCCCGTGTCCCCCCTCCTCCCCATCGTCCTCCTCCGACTTATTATCCTATGCCTGTGCTGTGCTTCATCCACCTCAGTTCCTAATTACGTAGAGTCGCGCCGTAACGAGGTGGCAAATTGCCTAGGCGCGCATCGCTCCGTCAAAACGACGAGAAGCACGTAGGGCCCGCGACCACCTTCCAGGTTCGCATCTCTCGTTCCCCTCCTTGCCTATCCCCCCACTCGCTTCGTCCTCCCCACCCCTTCTCAACCACCTCCTGCGACTCGTTCCACCTCCTACTCCGCTCTTCCTCTTCTCATCCTCCTACCTCCGCCTGTTTCCGAAGCTCGCCATCTCAGTTATCCTCACTTCCCAGCGCCCTCCTCCTGATCCCCTTGTTACCGCTTCCGATCTCGTCCTATTGTATCCAACCACCTGTGGTGTTGGGTCCTCGTTTTGAGGAGACAGCCCCCCGCGTTCCTCTCCTCCTCCTCCTCTTCCTCCTCCTCCTCCTGTCCTCCTTTTCCCTTCCGTTGCCCTCCCCTGCTTGCCTCTGCTCTTCGCATGTCAGCATCGTCGTCATCATCATCACCATCATCAGCAGCAGCAACATCATCATCATCATCAGCACCATCGGCAGCATCATCCTCATCATCATCATCATCATCATCATCATCATCAGCATCGTCATCAGCATCATCCTCATCATCATCAGCATCATCAGCACCATCATCAGCATCACCATCATCATCACCACCACCATCACCAGCATCATCATTATCGTCACCTCCAGCATCAGCATCATCATCGGTATCGTCATCACCATCACCAGTAGCATCGTTACCATCGTCATCAACACCATTACCATCATCATCCCCATCAGCACATAATCACCATCATCATCACCATCAGTATCATCATCATCATCATCATCATCATCATCATCAAAAGCAGTAGCATCATCAACAACATCATCAACAGCAGCAGCAGCAGTGTCATCATTATCGTTGTCAGCATCACCACCATCACCATCACAAGCACCAGCATCACCATTCGCAGCATCATCAGCATCATACTCAGCATCATCATCATCATCGCTCGTGCCATCAACAGCATCATCATCGTCATCATCAGCATCACGGCCATCACCATCGTCATCAGCAGCAGCATCATCATTGTCATAATCATAAATATCAGTGTCGCAGTTGTCATCGCCATCTTCGCCATCGGTTCACCCCTAACAGGTTTCGTGGCCACAGGGTGAGTTCCAGTGAAGGTCCCAGGGGCGCCGCCCGCATGCGTCCGACCCACCCATTCTAGCCCACCCCTCACGAGGAACGTTGACCTGGCGAGCTCAACCGAAGGTCCCAGGGACGTCGACGCATGCGTCCGACCCGCCAATTTCGGCTCACCCGTCACGCAGCTCGCTGCCCCATAGGGAGCTCCACCGAAGGTCTTAGGGGCGTCGGCCGCATGCGCCCGACCCGCCCATTTCGGTATAGGGCACACCAATGTCAACACATCCTTCACGAGGACCGTGCCCCATAGGGAACTCCACCGAAGGTCCCAGGGGCGCCGTTCGAAGGGGAGGGGGGCGCCTGCATTTGTCCAACCATCCCATTTCGGCACACCCATCAAGAGGATCGTGGTCCCATACGGGGCCCCACCGAAGGCACCAGGGCCGTCACCCGCATGTGCCTACCCACCCGTTTCGGCACACCCATCACGAGGACCGTGGCCCCATAGGAAGTTCCACCGAAGGTCCAAGGGGCGCCGCGCGCATGTTTCCGACCCTCTCATTTTCGCACACCCTTCACAAGGGCCGTGGCCCCACAGGGAGCTCCACCGAAGATCCCAGTGGCGCCGCCCGCATGTGTCCGACCCGCCCATTCTGACACACCCTTCAAACGTCTCGCGGCCCCATATGGGGGTTGCAGCGAAGGATCTTGCGGTCGTCTTCGCGCGCGCCCCCCGACCATCTCGGCACGCCCCTCACACGCTTCGTGGCCCCATAAGTAGCTCCATCGAAGGTTGCAGCTGCCGTCATCTCATGCGTTTCACTTAGAGCCCGCATGAGGTACCCGCCACATGTTGGCAAACCCCTCCCGCGGTTCGCCCGTCTCACGCAGTTCGCAGCCCCATTTGGGGTCCCCCGTCGATCGCCCTGCTTTCTCTGCGGCGCGCACAATTGCACATGATCGGACCCTTCGCCATGATTATTCTCTCCTTCGTCCCTCATCCTTCCCCCTTTAGGTCGTACTTCTCTTCCCCTCCATGGTTCCTGTCTTCTTCTCATCAGCCTTGTTCCCGTCTTTCTTCTCTTCTTGTTCAACCTCCCAATCGTCCGACGTATCGTATGTTCATCCTCGCCTCTCTCATCTTCCTCATTCTCCGTTACTTTTTATTCCTGTATGTTTTTCTCTTCCTCCTCCTTTTTATCCTTCCTGTCATCCTCATCGTCGCCACTCCACCCCTTCCCGCGAAAGAGACAAGAAGCATGGGGGTCCGCGCCCACCGCTCAGTCTCGCATACTCCTCCTTCTCGTCTCACGCCGCCCCCTGTCGTCCTCATCCGTCTCCACCCGTTCCTCCTTCTCCTCGTTATTCCTCCCCTCTCTCTCCCCCTTCTCTGTCCCCTCCACCCCCTCCTCCTCCTCCCTCACCCTGCTCTGCCCTGCTCTGCCCTCCCCCGCATCCATCGACTCCTCAGCATCTCATCCTCCTCCCAACGTCTTCATCCTTCCTTCTCTCTGCCCCCCCCCTCTTCCCATTGCCGATCGCTCCCCAGCCTCCTGGAGTTCTACAGCGTGTGCGGGAGGGGGCGAACGCGGGAGCGTCGGCAGCCGCGGCCCGCGTGGGCGATCGATTGGAGCAACAGCTTATGGAGCCCGAGGGGTTGGAGTGAATGCGCCGCGCGCCATGGCGCTCTTGGCTTGACGCCACCGCGTACGTTCCACACGGGCTCCGAAAAAGACATGCGAATGGCGAACCGTATGGCGTTGTAGGCGTTCCGTCAAGTTTCCACCCCTCTGGCTCTCGCCACCAGCGTGGCCATTCGGCCCTCGATCGCTACAGCTTCAAGTTCTGCCACGTCCGCCTTGACTATGTCAGCGTGAGGTCGTTCTTGCTCCCCAAGGTTAGTATTCCAAAGGATCTGATGTGTAGCCATCGCGAAGAGGCCTCGGGTCTCGAACCCAGTGAGACTAGTAACCCACGTACGAAAGTCGTTTAGCCGAATCTTCAAGTCAGCGTCAGCCAACTCGGAGGCCTGAACCTTGACAGCACTTCCGCGCATACTGAGGGCTTTCAACTACATGTGCTCTATGGGCATCATGATATGATGGAAACAACTACTGACCA